GCTGCGAGCCATCCTCAGGCCACAGCTCCTTGTCGTTGTACTTGGACGTGTCCCAAATGGTCTCATACATTAACTGCGGCACGCGCACGGGGTGCGACTCGGGACAGGGGCCACCGCTCTCGAAGGTGCCCAGCTCCGGGTATGACATGTGGCTCATGTGGTCCGGACTGTCGAGGTTCTTGCCGTCCCAGCAGGTCGGGAAGCGCACGTTGGCCATGATGCCCGCGGGGCACGGCTCCTTGGGGAAGTCCATCGACTCCGGGAAGCGCGTCCCCGGGTTCTGGAGGCACGTGTACGTGATCTGCCGGAACCGGTTCGCCTGCTCCTTGCTGCGGTACGACGCCTCGCCCACCAGCATGCGGAAGCCCGTCTTGAAGGCTGTGACTTTGGATGTCTGCTCGTAGTTGGCCAGCCCGTCCTGCATGTAGTAGACTGTCATCCCGCCCGTCTGGCCCTCGAACCCGACGTTGGGGATCTGTGGCACTCGTTGGTATGTGCCGTTTCGCGCCTTGAAGAAGAGCACCGCCGTCCAGTAGTTCGAGAAGTCTTCGCTGAACTGGCAGGTGGTGCATGTGGCTTTTTCTGCGATGTCGCCGCTCTCTGGGTCCATGGTCACGTTGAAGGCATCCTGATCCGATGGGTTAGTCTGATCAAGGTTTTACTTGGGGGTGAGATTGATTTATCGACTTACGCCGCCGATGATCTGGTGGAGATGTGGCGAGGGGTTGGAGCCAGGGTTGACCAGAGGATCGAGACGCTCGACGACGAGCTGCGAACACCCGAAGCGGAGCAAAGCTGACGCCGGCGCGACGAGCGCCAGCGCGGCCAGCGAGTTCATATGCATATTGGCGTTTTTGGAGAGTACTCCTTTTCGATCTTCTTTTCTCTTCTTTTCAATCAAGGTTGTGTCAGTGTGTTGCTTCTTCTCTACTTAGCGGACCTCGCTAGACTGGTAGGGTATCTGATAACGACGGCGAAGACAATATCGGATATCTCTGGTGATGGGAAACGCGGGCTTATATGCACTCCTTGCTGCCAGCATGCGTTGTTAATTACTCTTCGCCGGCTGCGATCCGGCCGCCTCCCATGAGCCGCCTTGAAGTTACACGTGGGTGGGGGGGGCGGGAATAATCATAATCTATTCCTTTAATCGCCATGCCTCGAGTGTGGACCTTGACCCGGATCAGTTTGTCTGAAGGAATACTGTGTGGCGTTGAGGTGGTCGTCGTACAGTTCTGAGCACCGGACCTAATCTGATGGGAATTGCCGACCCTTATTGGGGTTTCTATGCAATCTATTTACTTTACCATCGTTACATCTCCCGAGCTTCCCGCCGAGCGAAACCCCGCTCGCAGTCGGAGGCTACTTGTTCTCAGATGATCCGGTGGTGATGATTGGTTCTGAAGGCCCGGCTGGGCCAATATACACTGCTATTTTCCCGGTTCGGCGGCGTTGATTGTCATCGCCATGCGCCGGCTTGGGGGTCAACGCTTCTAGAAGGCCGATCGTGGTTCTTCTCAGATCCGCATTTCAGCCTGTTCGTCTCTCCCCTGCAAAAATGGCTGGGAAGCTGCATGGAAGCTGCAGAAGCTTCTTTGGCATATTGTGGAAGTTGATCGCGGTTGATCTACACATCTACACTTACACAAATTCCTCCGCGGGGCCTAACGTCGTGATGTAAGTTTGTGACAATATAATTTAGTTCAATATGAACTGCAGCGTTACCTCAAAGTTATCAAAGTAAAAGACAGCCAGGTGCTGGGAGGGGTCCCTGGCACCACCCACGATTCATGGGGACCCTTGAGAACGTCCTTGTGGGTTTTGAGACTCGGGCGTCGGATCGACAAGTCTACGCTACTGATGATCGGTACATGTATCTACCTGGGAGTGCCAATTATTTGGGTTTCATGCAAATAGAGCCCTTGCAGTATCGTGTGTGGTGACCCTGGAAGACGGGGATCGATTCCATGACCTTTAACTTGAATCCTTCCTTGTTACTGAGAGCAACAAACAGGCCCAGCACTTCCTTGGCCTGCCATTTGCGGCCAGAATTTTCACTCTTCTGTATACATTGTGATGCAAAGCCCATCCATTTATGATTCATTACTATGCCAACACATATGCTGGAGCAGATACGTTCCCCTACTCCGCATCCAGAGGCGCCTTGGGCGGCGTGTTGTTGACCTGTACTCCTCCACGCTTCTTCTCGTGGCTGTCCGGCATGGGTAGAGCCCATCCGCCCTCGCCTTCCGGCGTGGCCAGCCACAGCCTCAGCAAGTGACGTCGTGGTGCTGGAGGAGCAAAGTCTGTATGTCTGTCAGCACGATCCATAAACAACACCCAAAACCGAAACAAAGTACTCACCCTTATACGCGGTCCTTGCATGCAACAAATGCGCGTTGCTCACAAACTGCACATCCCCCACCTCCAGCACCATATGCAGCGCCTCACGCTGGCACACCTGCTCGAGCACCTCCAACGCCCTCTTCTGCTCCTCACTCAGCGGCGGCACCACCCCCTTCTCCTCAAACCTCTTCAAACTCCTCACATAATACGGATCCCACTTACAATACACCCTCCCCTTCCCGCCATTCTCCAAATACACCACCGGCTGCCTAATCCACTCCTGCTCCCCCTCACTCACCTCCCCCTTCCGATCAAAATACCACACCGGCCTCGTCAACAACTCCGCCACCTCAGGAAACTCCGCCTGCAGCACATTCCACACCCGATGCACACTGACCACATCACTCTCCCCCCCCTCCTGCGCGCGATGCACGCACAGCAACCCCACCAAATCCGCATCATCGGCATGGAAAAACTGCCGCGCCGCCGTGCGGTAGATGCGCACCGCGTGGATCTGCTCCGGGTCGTCGCCGACGTCTTTCACGTGGCCGAGCACGTGGCCGCGGCCGTTTTGCGAGACCGGGTAGCCGAGGTGGGTGCCCAGCCCGAGGTAGGCGACGGCCGTTTTGTGCGGGCCCCAGGCTTGGGCGGGGAAGTTCTTGAGGAGGGTGAAGCCTTGGCCGTTGAGCAGGGTGTCGCGGAGGGTGGTGAGGGTGCGGGATAGGGTGGGAAGAGGGAAGGTGGACTTGGAGATGCCTTCGAGGGGGTGTCCTGAGGCGAGGAAGGTGTCGGCGGCGAGGGAGAGTTCGGCGATGTCGGTGGAGGTGAGGGGGTGGATCCAGCGGGAGGGGTTGGCGGTGAGGTCGGAGGCTTGCCAGACGGTGGGGCCGGTGATGTGTTTGGGGAAGGCGGAGTAGGGTTTTAGGAGACCGTAGAGGGGGGGGTGTTGGCCGGAGGTGCGGATGCCGTCGGGGAAGATGTGGCGCGGGGCGTCATCGTTGCGCTTGGGGACAGTTTGGGGGAGGTTGGGCTGGGCCTCGTCGGTGAGGAGGCCGGGTGCCATTTTTCTTTGTTGGTTCTGGTTTGCGAGGATAGGTACCAAGGGGGGTTGAGTGTGTCGGGAGCTGTGTGAATAAGAGGCTAGGACAAATCGGACTGGGAGATAGAATAGGTCGCCAGTAATTTCCTTTATGGCGAGATACCTAATCAAACCAGGGCGGATGAACAACAAAGTGCGGTCACTTCAACAGGAGGCAAATGCAGGTATAAGTACTACCCCGGATCCGAACACGGCACCGTCGGTCGTCGCCGGGCGGAGGATGGCGTGATTCCTAGATGGATCCATCAATGAGTAAGACGGGGATCCTGCTACGTTTTTAGCGGCTTGGTTACTGTGAGGAGCGTTGAACAGAGCGTTGTGTCATTGCGATATCAAATTAGGGGATGGCGTGCTTATTGCCTGCCATGTTGTGAAAGCATCGCCCCGCAATTTCCACCTCGATCCTACAGAGGCTAGAACCGGTGTGGTAGAAAGTAGGTGGTCCTTGGAATCGGGTATCTTTGTCCGGAGGGGTTGAGTGTGATGTGTTATGTAATAGTGCACCGTTTGATGTTGGAGTGCATTGTGGTGACCTCGGTCCGTAACACGGCTCCACGGCCCGCCGGCGGGCGGATGTATGTACAGGACAGCCCATTCTCTCTTGACATATTTTTTATTTATTTCTCTTATCACGCTAGGTACTAAGTACATGCGGTCCCTCAGCGATTAACTCGGTAGGAAAAACCATGCCTAAGCTGGATGAAAACCTCCGCACCTCCGCTGCGGCCTTGCCGCTACCCCGTGGATCCATCTCCTCGAAAGGGCTCACCCACCTTCCGAGGTCAAAGTAACGAAATAGATAAAATGAGTCGTAACCTCTGTTCCATCGATGCCCTTCTGCTACTCCGCTTCGGCCCCGCCGCGGGCCTCTTCGTTGTTCTCATTTTCCAGCTCTACCGCCAGCCGGAACTCGTTCAGCCTCCCCAGCCCAAGCACCCACCCCACCACTATGGCAGCCTTCTCCACGTCATCTAGCCACTCCAGTAGCTCTGCGCCGTCGTCTGGCCAGGGATGAGGTTTATCTGCGGCTCCGTTGCATTCGAGTACGAGGTGTTCGAATGTCTCGCGCGCCATACCGCAGCGGCATACCGGCGTTACTACCTCGGGGACCCTCCTAGTAAAGAGGAACCCTCGAAGCCCAATCTTCCCGGTCCTCGCTTGCACTAGGAGAGTACTCTTCGCCTTCGATAGCTCCCAGCTGGGTCCCTCGACCGGTGTCGGTTCATGATAGAGGCGTCGAACCGCGCGGTCGCATCGGCCGGTTCGAGGGCCCGCCCCGGGTTCCTAGCGACCACCCTAGCTACCTCACTCTCCCATCTTCCAATCCACTCCCTTCTCATTGCCTCCTCCATCCACCTCTCGAGCTGTTTCTTGTGGTTTGGTACTGGGCCGGTTGAACATGGCTCTAGCTCCTCCTTTTCCGGCCTCGACTCGAGGGGGGCCCACTCCTGTGCCCACCTCTTCTTCCATTCTCCTGAGCCTTTTTCCGCTGGTGCCGTTGCTATATCGTCTATCTCCCGCCGAGGTCCTTCCCCTCCCCCTTCTGCGCCTCCGCCGCAGGATCGCAGCGATTGTGGCAGGGGTCTGGCGGATTAGCCTCGCCTCCTCTGATATCCTAACCCGATCCTCGAAGGCAAGGAGCCTCCTGTTGAGGTACAGGTCGATGGGTGGGCAATAGGTTTCTGTCTCCAAGCTCCGTATTGGGGTAGCCTTGTAGGCCCCAGCGACCACCCTGAGGCACTCCGATTGGATCTTTGCGAGTTCCTTTGCGGCCCCGGGGGGGGGGGGGGCCTACCTCCGTAGGGGTGTGGAAGGCTGAGGCTCCATACGCGATCGCACTGCGGATCACTTTCGAGTAGATCTCTCCTCGCCCTCGCGAAGGTACACCCCCACGTCTTTGCGGCGAGCCTTGTTAGGGCACAGGTCTGGGTCTTCATCTTCTTCCTCACCGCCGCGAGGTGTGCGCGGTACCTCAGCTTCCTATCGAGCCAAACCCCAAGGAATCTAGCATCCTCAACTGGTTTCAGCTCTACCCCCCCGATCGTTAGGGTCTTCTCGATAGGGGCCCCTTGCTCTCGAAAAGTGGATTAGTTCGCTCTTCGCTGGCTCGAATTCCATACTCCCTCTCTGCTGCCTCAACCTGCACAGTGGTCCCCAGGCCTCCGCTAGGATGGCCGCAGGTACCCTCTCGTCGTCTCCGCTACGGCCAGGATATTTGTGTCGTCTGCGAACCCTACCACGATTTCCCCCCTTACTACCTCGAGCCTCTTGTAGAGTGTTGAGATAAACAGAAGGAAGAGGATTGGGGAGAGGGGGGACCCCTGCGGGACCCCTGCGGCCACCTCGTACCTTTCGGACATCGTCCCATCGAACCAGAGTTTTGCCGACCTCCCAGCGGTGAACGAATCGACCCATCTAAGGGTCCACAGCGGGACCCCCAGTTCTCTAAGGGTCCTTGTGAGCCATCCGTGGTGTACCCTATCGAAGGCCCCTTTGAGGTCTAGTTGAAGGAGAGATGCGTTCGCCTTATGCCGCCAGGTCTCGTGTACGGCATCCGTGACCACCCTGATCGCGAATTCCGTGGAGCGGCCGCTGCGGTTCCCCATCTGCCCCTCGGGGAGCCATCCCTGCTTCTCCGCTTCCCGGGAGAGGCGTTCTGCGATTACCATTTCGACGATCTCTCTTGACATAAAAAACCCTCCAAATTAGGAAATAGTCTAGAGGGGTTAAAAAGCGCCAAGATACTGTCGTGGGAGAAGTCGACGGCGAGGGAATCGAGGGTTGTGGGGATGCCTGCCATTTGGAATGTTCAACATGGTACCTACCTGTAGGTACCAATCACCACATCGGGGGTAAGTGGCAGGAGAAGCGTAGCCTTGCTGGAGTGGTCTTGAATGAGGGGTTCTCATTTATAAACCTATCTTTACTGCCTCTGCTTCAATCTTTTCCTCTATGTCTCTGTGCCTAGCCCAGAGCAGGTCTCGTCGCACTCTATCCTCTTCTTCGTCATGCCATGTTTCCGAGAGCTCTATCAGATCCCAGGTCATGACCATCTCCATGGCCTCTCTCCAGTCCTCAAATTCCTTGTAGTCGCGAGCAAAGTCGCTGTCTGGAAGCCACGGGTCGACCAAAATAAGCTCAATTCCCTGGTCCAGGTCGCAAAAGAAGTTGCTCTTAAAGGTCCGACAAGGCCCATGCGCATAACAGAGGTTAATCACGTCACGGCTCTGGTCAAACCACGTTCGCACAGAATCAGAAAACCACTGGTGAGCAATCCAGTCAAGGGGCGCTCGAGCCCCAAAATGTTGCGCGAAATGTGCCAAGTGGATGCCGATGTCAGCAGGACCGTAAATTGAGCTTTCTTCGATTTCCCTCGCCGTAGAAAGACGCAGGGCTTGGGTTGACAAATCTTCCGAGTCGACTTGAAGTCCGCGATCCATCAGAGTCTTCAAGGAGACTTTGTGCAGCACATAGCCCTAGGGTATACCCCACTCGAAGACGAATTCGTAATGAAAGTGTTCTGGTTTCAGGCCGATGGATCGAGCCAATTCTCGTCCAGAATGGAGTCGGACGGGGGGTGTCTGTCCTTCGGCCGGAGCCTCGATGAAGACCACCCAGATATCTGCGGGTGATTCGCCGTCGACATAGTGTTTCTGAAATGCACGGTGGACCGTATCCACGAGACGGTTGCTGACCGACGCGAGAGCTGTGGGTATTCGGTTTTCCCGGCTGGCATGCTTTCGAAACTCGGCGAGTAGCTCGGCCTTTGAGAGCGGGGGTCCCGTTGGGCCTCGGCTTGAGTTAAGCTGGCTGGCGTTGCTTTCGGAGTACACTCGAGTGTAGATGGTGCGGTTAACCATGGTGTTTGTAAATCAGGTAGATAAATGTCAAGTGTAGCTGGGATAGTCGAAGCCCAATGAAGGATGGATGGATGGATGTTATTTCGCCGGAGGCAGCCCAATGAAGCCCTAATGAGGGATCGGTAAGCTGCTGTGGGTGGTCACATGTTCGGCGGCATTGAACCAGTAAATAGCCCCTTATATTCATAGACATCCCGCAGACAATATCATGAACAGTATCGTAATACAAACAAGAGTGAAACCTAAGCTTGTCTCCAAAAATGCACAAGTATCCAGTCGTGAGATACTTTACGGGAGCAGCCTCTTCAGCGGATGCGCTTCCGTGTTGAAGACATATTCGTCCAAGCTGATCAAATCGGGTTCGCTAAACATCAAGTAGAAATACTTGAGCGTCTCGCCCAGCCAAAAGCTCTCCATCGAATCTGTCTGACTGGGCTTCCCGTCAGTGACGGTAATATCGTCAAGGGCCGAGTTGGCCAGCGGGGTCTTGGTGTTCTCCTCGATGGCTTCGAACATGTTCCACGCCGACTCGAGCAGGTTCTTGCGGCCGGTCACACGATAGAGTATGAAGACGCTCTCGATAGCTTCGGGTCGCAGGAGGTACCGGGAATCACCAATGGAAACAAAGCCCTTCGGGATCCGCTTGTGGGCAATGATTTCATCACCATGCTTTGGATCCATGTCGCCATCGAGACCGGCCTTGGTCAGCACTGCCCGCCGCCACTTATCCTCATCCCAGGGGCAGCGTTCGGCTGACTCGCAAGGCAGCATATCGAACCACTCGGGCATGATGCCCAGCGGCATGGCCTGGTAGGCCCAGATACAGCCGTCGGTCAACTTCTCCCCCTTCTCCACGTGCGTTTGGTTGTTGATCAGTTTTCCGCCGAGAGCGAACATACCCCCGGCAAAGCACACGAGGTGCTGTCCCTCGGGCCGTAGCTCGCGGGCAAATTTGTCTTTGTCGGCGCGGGACCTCACCAAACCGGAGACGAGCACATCCTTTTCGTCTGGCAGCATCGGCCGGAACAGGTTGTGCTGGATGGCGGTATCCATCGACTGCTCGTACATCTCCCGGTACATGGGCAGCAGACCACCGGCGAGCGCATACGTTTTGGGCAGGTATTCGTACAGCGAATCGGCCATGGCCCCGAGGGTATAGTCGTGGTACTTGGTAAAGTCGCCCTTGCGGGCGTCACCCACCACCGGCCACATGCCTGGGAGGCGCGTGGTTTGCTGCTGCGCTTGGAGGAGCTCGATGATGCGCTGCACAGCATCGTACCACTTGGGGTCACCCGTTAAAATCGACAGGCGGATGAATTCGAGGGAGAAGGAACCAATCTCGGCGAGAAGGACGTGATCATGGGCGACCTGGACTTGGCCCCAGCCCGCTGCCCACGCGTTCCACCTCGTCATGGGCATCCGGTTGGGGGTATCGAAGGCAACGTAGAGCAGCTCGCCGACTTCCCTTGGCTTTGGTAAGTAGGCGCTTGTCGTCCGCTGAGGTCGTAGCGGCGAGGAAGCCGCCCAGGTAGCGGATGTTGGTCTCGAAGACGTTGATGTCGTGTTTGGGGACCTTGTTGAAGTTGATTTTTGATGCCGCAGCAACGGCGTGCTCGAACTCTTCTTTCAGCCCCATAATCCACAGCGTGTCGAGGCTGTCCACCAAGGTAGCCCCCCATCCGCCAAAGGGGTTGTGTCTGCCCCCGCTGACAGGTGTTAATTCGTCGCTCATCCACGCAAGCTTGCGATACGATTTCCAGCATCGTTGGAAGGAGGCCAGGACGGCGTCTCGGCGCTTGAGACGCACGTCACGGTCCGAGTCGGACTCCGGGCTAAAATCGTTCTGCACTTTGGGCAGTGCTAGCGGTTGCCCGGTTGGGAGGGCTCGCATATCCTTAACCCGATACTTGGGTTTCATCTTGGCCCATTTTGACTTTATTTTGGGGGCGATGCCAGCACCGGTGTTCCCGGAATTCGTCAACAACCTCAAGTCATTGGCATTGAGACGCTGGAAGGTATAGAGGGAAAAGAGAACAACGGCAGCGAGGACGAATGCCCATGTTTTCCGTCGTCCTAGCGTCGGCATCTTGAAGGGCGATGTGTGTCGAAGCGGATGGCACGAACTACAGCCTCCGGTGCGACCGTTGCGGCTGTTGAGAGATGCATGATGCAGCCTTGGGTTCGGGTTTCAGCTTTGAAAGTGCCGGCTGTGCCGTGTTTCTGTGGTGGCGGGTTGAAGATTACGGCTCGTGTAAAGCGGGGCGCGGGTTGGCGGTTGGGAGAAAGGTCTGTAACGAAATATTGAAAAACAGTGAACTTTTGTGTAAGATTACGCCAATTTCTCCCTCCCTTCATTTTCTTGGCCCAAGGTGCTGACTCGGAGATTTGGGTTAGTTACACTTTTTTACTTCTCACTTTCCACGACGATTGTGTAAGGCCCTGAATGTAAAATCCCCAGGGTATGAAATAGTGCACTGAGCGATAACCGGCTGTAACCTTCAGTCTTCAACCCGTACCAACACGGCTGACAGCTCGGCATTGTCCCAAAACAGGTTAGTATTCGATGGCATCATTGTTCCAAGCAGACAGGGGAAATCTGGGCAACCTTCAGACATCATCGCCTGGCACCATGGCCCTCTTTCTTGACTCATAGCATTATTGCTGCTTTGGAAAATAGCGGTTCTCTAGCTGTCACCATGAACGGCCCTAATCGCCAACACGCTGCCTTCGTTATGTCAGGAGCCTGGGGACGGGCGTGCCTGGAAGGTCGTGCCAGGTAAATTGGTATTCTGGGAAGTGACTGCCTTTTGGCGGTCCACCCGGGTTCATTTTCGAATCGTAAGTTCCCTATGGTGGCCTGTCCTTGTTTTTCATCCTTGCACTCTGCACTTCAAAATTTGAAGTCCATTGTTCCTGACCTCCTGGCTAGTTCAACGAAAAGTTTGTCAAAAAAACGGAATGGATCGACGAGCAGGTCTTCCAGGAGCTGTTCAGTATCTCCCAGTCGCTGTCCGGGCCCCGCTAGCACCAAGATGCTGTACTGCATCAACTTGATCCGCGGCGGAGTTTTTGTTCAGCCGTTCTTGAAGTTTTCCTTCTCCTGGAAGTCTTTCCCGGTGCCATCGGCATGTACGCCTTTGTTCCAATCGGAAGTAGCCAGCATCGGATGAGACCCTGCCCTGGGCCCGGGTCTACGCTCTACTATCCGGCCTTCAACTCAGCCACCGTGGGCGTGATTGCATTAGCCGCCCGTCGAGCTGTCCCAGAAGGGCTATCACAGACAAGTTGACCCGGCTCATCGTCTTCTTCACCGCCGGCCGCCGGCATGATGTACAAACGCACTGGTGGTACTTCCCCCGTGCTGATGGTCATCTCGGGACTTGCTACTGCCCATATTCGATTTCCCGCTGGGTTCATTGCCCTACTCGCGAAGCTAGCCACAACCCGCAAAAAAGACTGCGACCCGGCCGCCAACCCCCAAACCCACCGAAACCTCTCTCGAATCCCACCCACCTGCCCCTGAATCGGATAACAACAACAACAACAACCTCACCATCAACACCCCCCCCACCCATCCGCCAACGCACCCCCCTTTTCCGACCTCCCCCACCACGTCAACCCCCAGCCTATCCCCCCTCCCCAAGGACCTCCACCTCAACCTCCCCCGGCCCCGATCCCCCCCTCCCACACGCTCTCCCTCCCCCCCTCCCTCACCTGGCGCACCGGCACGCTCACCATCGCCCTCTTCCTGCTCACCTTCATCGCCGCCCTCACCCTGCGCAGCACCCTCCCCGCTCCCGCACCCCTCCTCTACCGCCTCTTCGCCAACATGTACCTCGCCGGCACCATCATCTTCGGCGGCGGGCCCGTCGTCATCCCCCTGCTGCGCGAGTATGTTGTTGCAGAGGGCTGGGTGACGCCGAGGGATTTTTTGATCGGCCTGGCGATTATCCAGGCGTTTCCGGGGCCGAATTTTAATTTTGCGGTTTTTTTGGGGAGTTTGACCGCCCTGGGTGGGGGGTATAGCGCGTTGGGGGGCGCGGTGGTGGCGTGGGTGGGGATTTTTACGCCGGGGCTGGTGCTGGTGCATGGGACGATGGGGGTGTGGAGTGCTGTGAGGAGTCGGAGGTGGGTGAGGAGCGTGTTGAGGGGGGTGAATGCTGGCGCGGTTGGGTTGATGTATACGGCGGTGTATAGGATTTTTGGGGTGGGTTATATTGATGAGGGGTTTCAGGCGGGGAGGAGCCTGGGGGATGATCCGTGGTGGGTGGTTATCACGGCTACGAGTTATGTTGGGGGGAGGTATTTTGGTGTGAATGCTCCGTTGGCTATCATGTTGGGTGCGGTGATGGGCTTGGTGAGATATGGCGTGGTGTCGGCTTGATGATGTTGTGGATGACGAGGGTTGACTGAAGCGTTTCTCTCTAAATGGCGATACAAAGAGCCATTCCCTGCCGAGGCGTGTGAGGAAGCATATTGAGAGCCTAGGTCTCATCGACGGAAAGCGTATAGGTTCATGAGCGGATAAAGCCTGGCTCGTGATGCCTTCTGGTGAACATTCATCCCCTCCACTGCGTTCCGGATACGCTGTCAGATGCCTTGCCCTTATTGCTTAGGTACCTAGGGTAGGTAGTCCCATTTCTGCAGCCGCCGGCAGTTTCTCACAAGACCATGATTTGATCCTGGTCCACATCTCTACTAGTCCTAACAACCCCTTCACCTAATATTTGCCTGGCACGAGCGAGTTGATATACAATTCCAGGTTAGTATACCCACTGCTCGAGATGCGCATAGCATCACTAGCGTCGTTGGGGTCCAGGCCATTCGATCGTTCCCAAGCGTCTGGAATGCCGTCGCCATCCGCGTCAGCCGGCGCCGTCCCCCCACTAATGGTGCCCGGACCGCCCATGCTCGACTCGTCACTGATGAGAGCGCCGGACTTCCCCCAACTCTTCAACTGGTTGATGAGCGCCGTATCCACCCCGTCACGGCTTCGAGCAGCCAACCCGAGCTACAATATGGTCTACGGCTGCCGCCGGGGAGAGCAAGTTGGCGGGGCCAGGGTAGTTGAACTTGCTGCTCTGGATTGCCATGTTCGAGTAGCAGGTGGTTGAGGCGCAGAGAGCGGCGCCGTCGAGGGCGCCGTCTCTGTCGGAATCGTAGAAATTGTTCGACACGTCTGGGTTGTGATTAGTCGGGATGCCAGGACGGCGCAGAAGGTCTCAAGGAAAAAACGGAAGACGTCTTACAGCCATGGAAGTTTGCATTTCCATGCGTAAACGCGGTCACGCTCGTGCTTGGACCCGAAATAAAGGAGTTGTTGATAATGTTGGCGTAGCTTGCAGCAGAACTATCACCGGCAATGTAGCCACCACCACCGCCCCAGTCGTAGATGACCTACAAGAATATATGTCAAAATTCAATGGATATAGATCATGGTAGTGGAGCGTTGCTCTGGTCTTACATTGTTCTGAAAGTCACTGACGCCCTTGACTTTTGGGTTGCGGGTTTTGTTGTCGATGTACAGATTGCGGAAGAGACTGATGCCGCCGTCGGTCTCCATGAGCCCACCACAAGAATGGGTTTCGAGTCCTTGAGCGATGATGGTATTCTGGACAGTAATATTCGCGGCGGTTCCGCTGATGGAAAAGGTCTCGTCTCGGCCCTATGAAACGCTGACATGGTCGAATATCATGTCATGACCCTCAGCGATGGTGATGCCATCCTTGCCAGATTGGCCTCCTTTGCCCATGCGGATGCGGATATATCGGGTGATGGAGTTGTGGGCATTGGACCAGGAAAAACCGTCGCCATAAACGGTGATTCCCTAACAGGTTTGTGAGCATGGTTGGAAGCTTTCGTGGAGTACCTAGCTTACGTCTCCCGGAGCGGTTTGGCCAGCAATGTATGTGTTCTTTGAAACGACGATACGGGAGCTGATGTTGATCACTCCACCAACGGTAAAGACGACGATCCGGTTGGCCTGCGACACAGCATCCCGTAGAGATCCAGAACCGGCGTCACTATCGTCCTTGTCAGTCCCTCGGATACAATACATGGTGCTAGGTACATATTGCGGCAATCGACCTTACTTGAGGTTGGTTACTTTGTAAACTTGGCCGGTACGACCGCCAATAGCGTAGCGGCCAAAGCCCTCAGCACCCGGGAACGCAAGAAGCTGGGCGGCGGCCTCACCACACAGGAGGGAGGCAGCGGCAAGGAGATTTAGAGCGAAGGGTCCCATCGTAGGAAACTAATCGGGCATACAACGGATGATAATGGAAGCTGTGAAACCACCTTGAGAAGAACGTAGTCCCATCGCCGAGTTTCGTAAGCCCTTACTCGGTATTGGAAAATGAGCCAGGGGGTCGAGTGTACGCTGGTTACGGGGTTGGAGAGTATCACGGAGTATCATGTTGCGAATTCATTCCCCAACCGGAAATCATCAAGGGCGGATTCCCCACAAACCAGGGTGTTTTAGGGAGCAAGGATGTGAATGCGGATCATGGGGGTTGTGCAAATCTCCCACCAACGATTGGTGGGATTCAACAAGACTTGGTATACCTTCGGTCCAAGTTACATGTAATTAGGGTTCCATTCCGATAAATCCCCTGAATGTTGGAGGTGGAGACACACACAAAAGACATTCCAGGTAGTGGGTGACCATCTTGTCTCGCGACAGAGGCTCCCGACTGGAGGAGTCCTGCGTCGCTTAGTTTTCCCCAGATCCGGTCAGCGCTGGCCTATGGCGCATCGTCGTTCCACATCCCCACGGATGTGGGAGGCGAGCCGGTAAAGAAAGGCATCACCAAGGCCCTCGGGAAGGCCCAGAACAAAAGCTTGCGGATTGTAGCGGGAGCCTTCAAGCACACTCCCATCCGCAACCTCGAGACGGAGACATGGGTGCCACCGTTGGACCTATATCTCAACAAACGGCTTGCGGACTTTGAGACCAGACTCCAGCGAACCGACCTAGATGACGGCCACGGCGGCAAGAAGACCGCAGATTCGTACTTTATACAATGCTGTTGCTAACTTGTCACTTGCCAGCCCCAGATAATATTTTTCCATGCCTTGGGCCAGCCATTCTTTTGCCCGGATAGTAACTTGACTCCTTAAGGGTTGCGCAACCCCCTTTTAGACAAAGCAGCCCCTTGCTTACCTCTACGTCATTGTCACCATTAACTTGAGGCGGTGGGTCAGCGGGGATAAACTTGAGTGATCTATCACATTTGCTAATTTTTAGTACCTAACGTATATTATCAACGAATGATGCGGAGGTGCGGAGGTTTTCATCCAGCTTAGGCATGGTTTTTCCTACCGAGTTAATCGCTGAGGGACCGCATGTACTTAGTACCTAGCGTGATAAGAGAAATAATAATATCAACGAATGACCCACTTTCCACGCGACGCGACACTTTTGCACCCAACATCAATTTCCTCAACCATCTAAGATGCCACCTACGTTCAAAGAAGACCGGATGGTCTTGGCACTTCAAGCTCTTAAAAACGACAAGAATCTGACCGAACGAACCGCGGCTAGGACATATGGCGTCGACCGTAGAACCTTGGGCCGTCGTCGCACCGGCAAGCCTGCACGACGCGACATACCAGCCAACTTACGGAAGCTGACAGATCTGGAAGAGCTTACAATAGTCCAATACATCCTTGAACTAGATGCGCGTGCATTTCCACCTAGACTGTGTGGTGTGGAAGATATGGCCAACCATCTACTACGTACGCGTGGCGCGCCCCCTGTCGGCAAGCTCTGGGCACATCGGTTCGTTAAACGCCAGCCACGGCTTAGTACACGTCGTACACGTAGATACGACTACCAGAGGGCTAAGTGTGAGGATCCGAAGGTCATTGGCGAGTGGTTTGCACTTGTACAGAATACCAGGGCCAAATATGGGATTGTAGATGACGATGTCTACAACTTTGACGAGACTGGGTTCATGATGGGCATGATCTTCCCAGGTATGGTAGTTACAACCTCAGATGGCCGTGGCAAGGCAAATCTGGCCCAGCCTGGTAATCGCGAATGGGCGACTGTGATCCAGGGGGTCAACGCCCTTGGCTGGGCCATCCCTCCATTCATCATCCTGGCCGCGCAATACCACCTCGCCAACTGGTACCGCGAGTGCAATCTACCACTCGACTGGCGCATCGCAACTACCGACAATGGCTGGACTACCAATGCAGTTGGCCTTGACTGGATCAAGCACTTTGACTACCATACGGCGCCCCGGACAAAGGGTATATACCGGTTGTTGATCCTCGACGGCCACGAAAGCCACCACTCCACCGAGTTCGAGCTCTACTGCCGGGACAACAAGATCATCACACTCTGCATGCCCCCGCACTCTTCCCACAAGTGCCAGCCACTTGATGTTGGCTGCTTCGGGCCACTGAAGCAGGCCTACGGTCGCTATGTTGAGGAGCTCATGCGGGCACATATCAACCACATCAGCAAGCTCGAGTTCCTTTGCGCCTTTCGCGAAGCCTTCTTTGCTTCCATGACAGAGAAGAATATCCAGGGTGGGTTTGCAGGGGCCGGCATCGTACCATTCGATCCAGAGAGGGTGCTTTCTAAGCTGGATATCAAGCTTCATACACCAACACCCCCAAACTCCCGGCCTGGCACTGCACAACCTTGGGTCTCTAAGACCCCACACAACCCCCAAGAAGCCAGCTCGCAGTCAAACCTTATCAAGACTCACATCGCTAGCCATCAAAACAGCTCCCCAGCTTCAATGTTGGCTGCTGTTGACCAGCTTACCAGAGGTACAACGGCTGTAATGCACCAGGTGGCTCTCCTTCAGTCAGAGGTCTCTTCGCTCCGCAAGGCCAACGAGGCACTGAGCAAGCGACGGAGGGCCAAAAAAACACGTGTGCAGCTTGGAGGGTCACTTACTGTACAGGATGCACAGGATCTACTAGACTAGAGGGCTGTAGGTAAGGGGGGAGTTCAGGAAACGCAGCCGGATGGTAGTGGTACAGGGGGGGCTCGTACGAACGTTCGGTGCTGTAGTAGATGCCGCAAGCCTGGCCATAATGCCCGCACTTGCCAGGAGGGTGCAGAAGCCACTGATACAGCTGTTTCTGATGTAATTGTAGTTATTTCCTAGTGTGCTGTGGGGGCTGGGTCATTCGTTGATATGGGTCATCCGTTGATAATATACGTTAGGTATGGAAGCAATACAGAATCTGTACAGTGCAAAGCTTCTAGCAACGCGCTCCGTCTGACTCTCTCTTGAGCCAAATGATAAATCTCCTCTCCTTCATTCTTCTCCCTTATCCCTCAACAGCACCATCGCCAGGAGAAGAGCATGTCAAGAAGCCTTCGAGTGGCCATCGTCTTCAAATAATTACTCCAATATTCGCGGGACCTCTCAATAAACCCTGCATGCAGATACAGATACGCCGTTTGGACAGTCATCAAACATCAATTAAAAATCACGTCGGAGCGAAACTCCATATTTGGAAGATGGGCCACCGCTTGTAAGAACCGTGGGTCATCAGTTAGACACCGTTTAGGTTGAGCTGGGGACCGATACGCGGATTATGGTAGGTATTGGTTACACCTCGCCGGGAGGGTCTGAGGAAGAGTAATTGCGACGCTGTTATTGCGACAAAGGGAAGCACTAATGAGGTAGGCACACGATCTCCCAATATCCCCAACCTGCCACGGCGAACGGAATTCCAAACCACACAAAGTTGATCAAAGCGAGTCCAAGATCCCTCTGCCTCGTACCATCAAACCATCAGACCAAGCTAAGCCAAATACCCCCAATACCCGGCTCGACAAGATCTTTAAGCACCCTAAATCAAACACCAAAAGTCAGCATCCATCCCATCACATCACCCCCAGCACCGCAGCTCTGAGACTGTACTCACATAATCGCACGTGCGCTGACACTGCTTGCCATTGACCTTCTCAACACAAACCCCCCAGCGGCAGATGCCGTTCCCCTTGCAGGGGTTGGCGTCGCTGCAGTAGGCCTTGCCGGAGCAGTAGTCGGCGCTCTTGTACCGGACGCAGTGGTAGTCCTCGGGGGCCGGCCAGTCGCCAAAGTTGTGGCAGTAGTAGCCGTTGGCGCCCTGGGTGTGGCCCCAGTCGGTGTAGGGGTTGCAGCTGGTGTTGTCGCCCCGGGCGGCGACGATGCCGTCGGCCAGGGGGGCCGGGGCAGGGCTTCCGAGGACGGCGGGGACGGCGAGGGTGAGGAGGGTGAAGGCCTTCATTGTGGTGGGTGGTGGGTGGTGGGAGGTGTGTGTGAGTGGATGGGTGTCAAAGGCGGAGCTGGAGTTGTGGTTTGGAGTGGTGATGGGATGATCTGAGAAGTTTGAGGTGAAGGACTCGGCCGGTCTTAAATGTCAAAGTATGCGCAGAGTTGTGAATGAGCATGAGTTGACATTATTCGGTCTTAGTTGGACTCTCCCCTGAGCGATCCAGTCACGTAACAGACAAGCTAGTTCCGATCACTAGTGCGACCCGTGGCGGCCGACGGCCGACGGCTGACTGCCATCGGGATACCAACTCCAATCTTCTGGAGAGATGGATAGGGTAATAGGCCAACACGTGTAGCCGTCACGGCTCTTGCCGGCGGTAGGATAGGGCCTTGGATTCAATGACCCGCTCCAGCCTTCTTTGTCTCGGAGACTGGATTAGTGCGCAGCGACTGGAGTTTTGGGCTGAAGCCTCCTCGTATTAGCAACGCCACTGACCGCCATGGCCAATCTGTGTAGGCTCAGACAAACGAAAACCAATTTGGAACTGCCTGTGGACAGCACGGCACTCAGATTCATCCCTTGCGGAACTTCTCTCACTAGACTCATAACCTAACGAAGCAAAATCAAGGGTATCCTTGGGCTCCGATTCAATTCAAGAATCTTTTTTCCTTGCGCCGAAGGCGATATCCGATAGACTGCATTAGCTCACTCCATGCTGCAATTCGCGTGGTCCACTGATGCTCGTCCACGCGAGCGGTGCACAACTCTACGAAATACAGCGCTTGCCACCCCATTAGTCATACTCTGGCTATGGTTGACTCATGTTGTCACCTCTCGACTCCGAAACGTGAGACGTAGGGTCGACAAACATAACCCATCGGTGTTGGTCTGTCAGAGGGTTGAGAAATACAGGAACGGCGTTTCATTCATTGCCCGCGAGGTGGAAAATCGTACAAATAAAGAAAAAAGAAACGACCAGTTGCCTCTTTCCCTCGCCAGGAAAAGCATGAAAAGAGACCTAACAACATAGTGAGTGTACGGTAAACTTCCATCCCCACCCCCGTTACCTGCAGTATTCATGACTTTCGCGAGCCAGACAGCGAGAGGGGCGTCCAACGTGACATCTTTCCCGTGGCACGGCATACCACGGCCCATCCTCCCCACCAATTGACGGCCCCGGAACAAGCACAATGATCAAACCACACGCTCCCCAAGGAGATTTGGTTAAAACCCGAAATCAAGTAAGGACAGCGACCCGCCACGTTCGAATTGGTTCCTGACAGTCTCCGCCATTGACATTTTGTCCACCATGGGATTAACTGGCTTGTCCTTCCTCTCCACGAATTGTTTAGTCACACTGGTACTTCCACTGCGTACGGCCGGAGACGCGTGCATACTGGCGGAACCACCGCGGCCGGGATCACCGTAGGCGGACTCGGAAACGAAGGAACCACCCTGGCCAACCCGGGTGGTACCATCCTGGGCGGAAACACCCTGGGTTCTAGCGTGTGGGATTTGGAGCTGGGGCGGGAGCCCGACGCCCTGAACTGACTTGAAGAAGAAGTCGGCGTCCCATTTCTCCTTGACCTTGCGCAGTGCCTCAGCGTTTGTCCCAAAGTAGGCCTCCTCGTGCGCTTGGAGTTCGCCATCGGCAAAGTTAATAAAGGCCGCGCGGCTGTTGATTGAATACTTCCTCAGCTCGGTTTCCATCTTCCTTAGGAAAGTCTTCATGCTCGTAGTCAGCCACTTCTCCTTCCACTCGAGCATGACGTAGGTTTGGTAGGCACAAGTGCGCCATGGGAACGCCGTGGTTTCTGGTGTCTTGTCTCGGTTCGCCTCTCCGCCAGTGTGAATCCACGTCACCTGCAGGAAAGCCTCCTCGCCGGTGAATTCCCCCCGAAACGCCGCCATCTCGTTCCTAATCAGTTGAATAACCGCGGTGATAGTGTCCTTCTTGTTCTCGAGGACGACCGAGGTATAGATTCAGTACCTTCCCGTCGCCGACGAAAGGGTACTCTGGTTCTCGAAGGACCACTGCGACACAAGCGTCTCCAAGAGGAACCGCGTCGACGACTCCGCTGCCGAACGCAGCTTGAACTGCTTGGCTACATGACGGTCATTGATACAGGTGTCGATGATGTGTCAAACTCGGCCTTGTCACCATTGTGGTAGATGGGGAAGCGGACCCTGAGCTCGGATCTGGCGTCTTCGAGGTTGCACACCCACGAGCTGTCGATGGTGGTTTTGTTGGGCCATTCGGCCGTGTAAAACTCAACCATGGTGTTCATGAAGGCGTCCATTGCGACCGGATCGGGCTTGGGCGCCCATACGAACAAGCCAGCGACCACATTGTCGCTTGCCAGCTTCTGCAGCTGCATCTTGAGCTCGACGACGACCCCAAAATTACCGCAGCCCGCCCCACAGAGCGCCCAGAACAGCTTCCTCTTGTCCTCATTTTCGTCGTGTCTCGTAACCGTCACCTCGCTACCGTCAGCCGTCACGATGGTGGCTTCGAGATGGATGGATGGATGGAATTTATTTCGCCCGGAGGCACTGGGCCTATAGGGCCTTAGCACGCTAACTACATCCGGATCAAATCGGTTTGCCTTTAACTCGTACAAGCCCCCTACTTCTTCCCTCTTTTCTCGCTGCACCATTTACCTCTTGCGGTGGCTTCGAGTAGCGTGTCGCAGCCCATACTGAAGCTGCGCGTGCACGGGCTCAAGCCACCGCCAAGCACGAAACCGCTCACACCCACCATGGGGCAACGCCCGCCGTTGACGACCAAGCCGTCCTGGCGCTGGTCTACCAGCTTCTTGTACGCGTGGCCCCAGCGCGCGCCCCCCTGTAATGTGACTGTCTCGGCGCCGGCCGTCATGTCGAGCGTCACGTTCTTCATCTGGGAGAGGTCTAGGAGGATGCCCCCGTCGGTCGTCGAAAATCCCGCGTACGAGTGCCCGCCGTTCTTGATGGTGAGATGCCCCTTGTGTGTCTGGGCTTCTCGGACCACGGTCTGCACCTGAGCCGTGTCGATGGCTGCATTAATTACACATGCCGGCCGCAAGTAGCGGAACATGAGATTCTCGGTCGCTACCGCATACTCGTATTGCTTGTCCCCGGGTTTGAGCACCGTGACGCCCTGAGCCTCTACTGCATTGATGAGGGCTTCCATGGCGATATGAGGAGGCAGGCCTGACAGGGAGGAGAACAAAAAACCTGTCACGTAAATGTAAATAACACGAATCGATAGTGGCGTTGCACTTCTACTTGCCTTGCCTAAGGTACCTAGGTAGGTAGCGTGGGCGCCTGTCACGGTTATGGTCGCGTACCACGCCCCGATGAGGGCACGCGCGGGAAGCGTTCCCAGCCAATCATTAAGAATGGGTCTCAGACCAATCAGCAGAGGAACGAAGGGAACGGCTACCGTTCCCAGGATCCAGTCTGGAACGAGAGGAACGATCACCGTTCCTCACGTTCCCAGCAAAAGGTACGCCGGTACCTAGGAAGCCTAGATAGTATATAGTCACCCGTTCTGGAGAGCTCTGGGAGTTCTCCAGTTAGCAATCACAACTACAGTTCGCTACAAGCTCGAAAGCCTACTGTTGAGACAAGTCTTTGTTGTGCACCCTTTGGCTGCACCGAACCTAAGCACCCTCGAAGAGATTACCTTCAACCGAAGCTGAACCCTAACAGGACAGGGTCCTGAAGTAGGTTCGTCACAGCGCCTGTCGACTCTGGCTAGGAATGTTGGCGACTGGACTGCCTGAAACCTGGCGGCCTCAACAAAAAGGCAGGGCGTCTTGTGCACAATTCTCGTTGCATGAGACAAAGAGAAAACACGAAGATAGGAGAAGGCCCCCTTTTTCCCCAACAGGACGCAGAGCCACCGCCTGAAATGAGCCCACCAATGGGACCTTTTTTTTTGGCCGTCCGCGGTAGCCGAAAGAATTGAGCCGTAGTACGTACGGCGTCAAGTCAAAGAGGTAGCATCCAGAAGATACCTGCCCTGTGTAGCTGAGTACTTTATATGGCGGAGACGTTTGCTCGGGCGCAGGATCTCATCAAGGTTGGAAACGGCGAAGGTGATGAGATGTTTTGGCCAGACGTAAAGATTACGATTGGACTGCTCAAAGATGGGGTTGAGGAGAAACTGGTGGAATATCGGCGAGTACCTAAGTAGCTACCTACCTGCCTACCTTGGGTATTCTCGACCGGAGCGTATACGAAGTCCCAGGTTTCGTGTTCCAATCTGTTCTCCGAAAATCACTACTTGAAATCATGACACTTCCCTGACACACACATACACGTGGTGATCACTGATCAGCTCGGGTGACAAGATAAGGTAGTAATTAGCTCGGTTCCCATCTAGAGTTTTCCTAGCAACTTCGACATATTTATGTTCTACCAAGTGGCAAGTACACATAGTTATCGAATCCTGCTCGTAAGTTCTTTTACATCCCTCCACAGGCGCGAGATTGAAATCGTTAATCTCGACCAAGAATTAATCTAGAGCTGCTTGTGTTACCGCGATGCAGCTGGCGAGGCATTAACGCGAGAGTTTTGGCCCCCAAGCGGCTGCGGCGGCCCCCCCGGCGAATGAATGGAACGATGCCAAGAAATGACTCTTTCCACTTCCCCGCTCATGAGAAAGAAGTGCGTTCCGGAGACATGAGCAGAGGTTACTTTGGTGATACCTGGAAGCTAACATGGAGGTTGCCGGGTTGGCTCTCGGGGTGGTAGGGGTTGCGGGCATCCTCAGCACCCTCAAAGATGTGGCCGAGCTTTACTCCCTTTTCGTCGACTCAAGGAGCGTTGGTCGGGACTATGAGATGCTTGATACGAAGCTGGATATCGAACGGACTATGCTCCTCCACTGGGCCGACCGCGTTGGCCTCCTCCGGGACGACTACGATCCCCGGTTGGACATCCCCAATACCCAGGAAACGGTTTTCAGGGTCCTAGCCTGCATACGCACGCTTTTAACTGACACGTCCCAACTGAAGACAAGATATGGTGTCCAGACATTTGACGTCCCGGATGCGGAAACAGGGAGCGAAAAGGCATTGTCTGCTCCTGAAGATGCCACAAAAGCAGCCAGCAGCGCTCCGATGGAACGACTGACCCGGGAGCTCGACAAATTGCGTTTGCGAAAGCAGACCCCTGAACACAAAGGCGCTATGAAGAGGTTTCGTTGCGGCTCATCAGAGACAAGCAGAAATTTGCTGACCTTCTCGACGATCTTTCACACTTTACCACGAAGCTCAACGATCTCCTTCCGGCCACGTCGGGCCCCTCCGTTTCCCAAAGCGAGCCGTCGCCTACCCAAGAACTGACTAGTCAGTCCGCCATTGGCACCCGTGGTATTCCCAACACCGCCCAGGAAGCGGTCGATCAAAAATACCAAGACAAGATCCTAGAAACGCTGTGGTTCCGGACCATGGAAGCGAGGGAGGAAGAGATCAAGCCCGCGCACGCCAAGACACTGAACTGGGCACTCGAACCACCAGATGGAAAGGTCCAGTGGGACGATCTCTCCGAGTGGCTCAGGTCAGGGGAAGACATCTACTGGGTGTCTGGAAAAGCCGGCAGCGGCAAGTCAACACTAATGAAACGGCTGTACCACCATCCACGCACCAAAGAGCTCCTCACCGAGTGGGCAAACGGCGGCCCCGTCACCCTCGCCAGCTTCTTCTTCTGGAACCTCGGCACCCCCGAACAAAAAACCCAAGAGGGCCTCTCACGGTCCCTCCTCCACCAAATCCTCTCCCGACACCCCTCCCTCATCCGCGAAGCCCTCCCCGGCATGTGGAAAGAACTCCACATCACCAAAGCCACCCCCAGCCTCCCCACCCTCACCGAAACCCACCACGCCTTCCGCACCATCTCCACCAAAACCCACTCCCTCCACCACAAATTCTGCTTCCTCATCGACGGCCTCGACGAATTCACCGGCGACCACCGCCACGCCATTACCTTCCTCCAAGAGCTGACCACCAACCCCGGCTTCAAAGCCCTCGTCTCCAGCCGGCCCATCCCCGCCTGCGTGGCCGCCTTCGACGACCTCCCCACCCTCCCCCTCCACCACCTCACCCACCACGACATCGCCACCTACGTCGACGCCACCCTCACCGCCCACAAAACCATCCAAAAACTCCTCAACACCCGCCGCCACGCCGCCAAGGCCCGCCGGCTTACGCACGCCATCATCAACAAATCGACCGGCGTCTTCCTCTGGGTCGTCCTCGCCTGCCGCGCGGTGCTGGAGGGGCTCGCGGATGGGGATGGTATTGACGATGTGTTGCGGCGCGTGGATGAATTGCCGCCGGAGCTGGAGGATATGTTTCGGCTGATGCTGGCGCGGGTGGGTGAGCGGTACCGCGAGCAGGGCGCGTTTACCCTAAGGGTGTGTCATGCCATTTCCGCCGCTGACAGCCCGGCGTCGAGCCATTTTGGGGGCCGGCTGAATGCGTTGCCCGTGGCGTTGTTGTGTCGGGAGGGGGGGGAGCCGGGGGTGTTGGAGGAGGAGGAGAGGGAGGAGATTAGGGAGGAGTTGGGGGGTTGGTTGGCGAGTCGATGTGGGGGGTTGTTGGTTATGGGGGGGGAGGGGGGCGGTGGTGATGGTTATCAGGTTGCGTGGGTGCATCGGTCGGTGGTGGAGTTTTTGAATGGGGATGGGGTTTGGGACTTGGAATACCTCCGCGTTGGTGAGGATCGGCCGCGGGTTCAGGCCGCGTTGTCGGTCTATGCTCTGCATTCAGTCATGCAGGACAACCACAGGGCTCAGATCATATACAATATCTGGTATTGTGGCGCTCTCGTCCTTGGCGCCCGAGCTGACGCGGAGGAGCCAGAAGGGAGGGATCACAGCTTCTGGCATATCGACCCCTTTTTACGCTGGCTGCGTCAGGTCGAACCGATGCCACCTGGGACGGAGAGCCTTGGCCCACTGAAGAGGCTGCTAGTTCGTCATACAGATGCCAGCCAGGGCGTTGCCCACGCCGCTCTGGTCCTGGCGGCTGAGTCGGGCGCGATAAATTACATGAAGGCACATCCCAACTTTCCGGAGTTCTGCCAGCCGGGCGTCCATATTTCGTGTGGCTGCTTCCCGCTCTTTTACCACGCTACAGCACACCCGCTGAGCTTTTCGATCATGTCGGCCCACCCGCCCGGGCCGCCGTCGGCGCTCAGGACCACCATTTCGTTTTTCCTCTCTTTGGGGGCTGACCCGAACATGACGGTGACGCACCGCCTGTCGGAGCCGGCTGGGCAAGCGACGTACCTCGACACACTCGACACACCATGGAGAGGTTGGATCGGCTGGGCCCTCAATATTTGGTCGGGCCGCACCGATCGCGCGGCTGTTGCGGATATCATGGCCATGTTCCTGGCGGCGGGCGCTCATCCCACCGAAGAGGTTCCCGCGTGGATTTTGCCCTATCTTGCGGATCCAAAATACCGGGATACTTTGACGGTGTCAGATGCACAACTGGCCGGCGCGGTCAGCGCATTGCGAGGAGAGATGTTACAAGCGGGCCAGGAAGGCAAACATGAGAGCAAGGAAGAAGACGGGCGGCTATGGTTACATTCCACGACTCGATCTACCGTTTACTGGGATGGGGAGCCTTATGTTGAAATGTGATTTTATCTTGTCTGCTCGGGAGAGTAATTTCCAGATTAGAACGATTAGAGACCTAGCTATCAATTATGTATGGCTGGGCTCAACAGTGCATGATTCGGACACGGTGTGGGCCAGGCTTCAACGGTCTCTCTCCTGTCCCCCAACAACCCCCTCGAAAGGAATAAAAGACCTCGGTTGCATGTACGTGCCAAGCTGAGGCAATACAGTTCAACCGCGTCTATCTCAGATGCTGAGTTGCAGTCTAGTCCTATTTCTATCCGTTTCCTAACGGTCCTCCTTTAAAACACCGGGAACTTTACGACGCCACGTCCCCGGCCCAGTGCGATACGCGGAATGATTACTGATAGTACGCCGTGGTGTTGGGACTCTTGAGAGGTCACTGTGTTGAGCTACCTGATCTGTTGAGGGCGTGGACCGAGGCTCTCATGTTCGTTGAGAACACGAGGTGTGTCGTCATTTGTCAGCATCAGCTGCCACGTTTTGTTGGGCGATAGTCCGGCAGGTGGGTGCACATGTGGTCAAGGCGTCGTTTCACTGATGACATGGAGAGGCCAGGGGGGTCATTAGAAATATCTCAAGTCTACCGAGGTACCCTAGTCCTACCTACCTATGTTAGTGTGCTTAAGTATTCGCCACCAGACCTTGAATAGTCCGAACGTTCAGGGCATGATCTTCAAACCGCCTCTCGGATCGTGCACATAACCAACAATTGCCACACACAAAATGCCTCCCCTCATCGTCTTGATCACCGGCGGGAACCGCGGCCTCGGTCAAGGCCTCGTCAAGCTTTTCCTCGCACAGCCCAACTACGTAATTTCCCACCGTCGTTAACAAAGGACCGAATTGAATAGACACTAACACATGTTCAGACCGTCATCGCCGCCGTCCGAGACCCCAACCACACAACCGCCCAAGCGCTGGCCGACCTCCCACAGGGTGCCGGCAGCACGCTAATCACGGTCCGCTACGACGCCGGCAGCGAGCAGAGCGCCACAGACGCTGTTTCCGAGCTCCAGACGAAGCACAACATCGACCATCTCGACATCGTCGTCGCCAACGCCGGCATCTCCAAGCAGTGGCCCTTGGTCAAGGATGTGAAGCGGGCCGACATCCAGGAGCATGTCGAGGTGAATGTGCTGGGTGTTGTGTCGCTGTACCAGGCGACGAGGGAGTTGCTGCAGCGGTCTACGGTTGGGCCGCGATTTGCGGCGATTGGGTCGATGGCGGGTTCTCTGAGGTGAGTGAAAAACGACATGGAATGCTGCGAGGCAAAATGTCAAAAATGACTCGTGACTGACTTGGTATTGCAGGGAGCAACCCCCGGTGCCCAGTGGTTCATACGGGCCCTCCAAGGCCATGTTGAACTGGTACGGCATTCGCATCAACGCCGAAGAGGAATGGCTTACGGCGTTTATTCTCGACCCCGGTTGGGTCCAGACGGAAATGGGAAACAGGGCGGCGCAGGTCTGGGGCGTGGCCGAGGCGGCGCCTGATAATATTAATGACTCGACTGAGGGCATGTTCAAGGTTTTGACGACGGCCAAGAGGGAGACGCATGGTGGGAAGCTTGTAGTGTACACTGGCGAGATTAAAGATTGGTAAACTGGTCCAGACGTGTCGGTCTCTGAAGACAATGATGGAGCGTCTACCAAGATGAAGCAGCTATGGTGGTTTTTGATAGCGTCTCCGTGCCAGTTGCCGCCATCAGATGAATCAGCATGCTTTGGGAGAAGAGATTCAATTTCTATGTAGGGACGCGGGCCTCCCGAGATAAACTAAAGTAAGGTAATCCGATGCCCGTCGAGCAAACACAAATTGGGAACATTGGATCCACAGACCTTTAATATTTATATTAGGGTTCGGAATTAATGCCTCTTTATACAGCCTAGACTAGACTGGGCAACTTTTATATTAGGCTAGGTGGTAGGAAGTAACATACTTGAGCCATGACAAGACACTAGAGTACTCAAGTAGGCCTATTGCCCGAAGTATTGTTCCAATGATGGGAGAGCAGTATGAATTTTCAAATGTTTTTTTTTCATATTATTAACAGTAAACTTTAGTTAGTATAACAAATAGTAATAACTAATATATATGGTATCAATCCTGGACCCAGCCCTATATATCCAACATATAACCTAGCTCCCAATTATTTTTGAAGGTTTAGTCCTTCACAAATTTCCAGCCATCGCGGCACAACCGGCAACTACCGCCATGCCCACGGCAAGGTTGGCCTTTGGCGCGGCCCCATCTGTAGGCGGCCCCGTGGGGCGAGCAGTTGGGGCAGGCGGTGTGTAAGTACCACCCGCGGTTGGGGAAGAGGTAGGCGCTGTAGCGGTTTGGGTTGCGACAACAGACGTAAATGGTACACCGCCGGCCGTGGTCGTAGCCCCGCTGAACGCCGGCGCCTGTGTGGCAGCGTTCGGATCGGGTCTCGCCGTGGTATTGGCGGGGTTAAGCACTCTGTTTTCAGCTTGTTAGCACCCTTATCGTGCAAGTTCGGTTGGGTTTGGGCGCGGGGACACCTCAAGATTACTTACCCATCCAGGACATGAACCACGCCGTTGGCGATGATCAGATCGGTGGTGATGACTCGTGCGCTGTTGACGAAGAGTGAACCGTTCACAGCCCGGAAGTTGAGGTTGGCGCCTTGGGCCGTCCGCTGGGTGCCAGCAGCAATCAGTTGGCTGTACAAGACCTGGCCTTGAACGACGTGATAGTTGAGTACCGTCGTGAGCTGGTCGATCGTCATGGTGTTGATGACACTGCCGATGGAGTTGAAGGCATCGTTGCTGGGTACGAACAGTGTCATGTCCGCGGCGTTGTTGAGCGGCTCCTCAATGGCGGCCTGGCGGAGCGCTCCCAAGGCACCGGTATATCCCTTGGACACCAGCGTATCTGTCATCCGGGTGGGCATCATCAGCGGGGTGTCGATGATGTGCATTGTTCCACCCGTATGGTTCAGGTCCTGGGTCAATGTTAGTCATGTCCTATTCTGACCTGCTTCTTGGGAACGGCAAAGGAGAAGAAGCGAGAGGTGGGACATACACAGGCCTGTACGGTGGACAGAACGCCCTTGCCCGAGAGGAAGGCGACGCCCCCGTTCTGGGACCGCGACTGGACTACTTGTCCGCCAGTGACGTTCGAGTAGCCCGCCAGGTCGAGGAATGTCGGGGCCGTCTTTGCCGTGACGTTGGCAAAGTCGGCCAGGGGGTGCACGCCTTCGAGAGCGTGGTAGCTCAAGAAGGCGGCGAGGAGGTTTGGATCTACCGCCAGATCCGTGGCCAACGCGCTGCCGTAAAGTTGGGCCAGCGCGTTGTTGCTGGGAGCAAGGAGGGTGATACCCTTCGCACTGCTCAGGATCTGGTAGATCAGTGGCTCTGAGGAGAGCCACGCGCCCAAGGAGGAGAGGTTGCCGCTTTGGGCGGCGATGACCTCTGGCAGCGACTGGGCGAAGGAAACAGTCGCTGCCACCAACGAGAAGAGAAAGAGAAACAACCGCATCGTGAGGGTGTCCGATAAAAAAGGGATTGATGGTGATTGAAAGAAAATACAAGATCACCTGATCGGACAATGTTGGTTGTTGGTGGGAAGAAGACTCGGAGGTTTGGGGGGAGGGAGGACAAGAATATAAGCCAAATGTAATCAGTAAATAAGTCGCCACTACCCAAAGAGGAAATTCCCCAAAGGAGAAAATGTAGTCATTGAACGGCAAATCAGTAAACAATCAGTAGACAATCAGTAAACAATCAGCCAGTAATCAGCCAGCAAGTTGCCACTGTCCAGAAGAGGAAAGGAGGAAAACAGAGTCACGGGTGTCCGGTTACGGGGGTCAGGTCCCGGTCTCGGGGAGTCGGGGCACAAGAAGTTCCGTCATAAGGTGGCGAGACTTCCATCATTCATACTGCAAGCGTGCTCCATCACAGAACTCATCCACATGTACTCCTGGCCAGGATCTCTCTCCATTGAGGTTTGAGGCCGTTCGGGATGCTAAGAATCGCTATATGGAAGACACCAGTTTGTACCATTCTCACAAAATAGGAAATGACAACTGACAGTATCTACTGACCTGGAAGCTCTCAACCGGTAGCCTTCAACTCAAACCGACGGGCCCCTGTCGTGGCCTCCTAGGTAGGTAGTCTCCGCCATCACCAATAAAGCCTTTTAGATTTTTATTAGCTGTTGTCTACCCATCACGGAAGTAGGCGGGAATTATAAGGGAATAGCTACTGTGTATTTCCACAACTCATGTTATCTTAGTACGTTATTCGTGCTCAAACCTGTGACATTGACCCCCCTCCGACTTCCCCCTTTCCAACCCAAACAAACCCCCACTGACCCCCACTCAACCCACCAGACAACCGCTCTCCCCCACTCACCCACCCCCTACCCAACCACCACAACCACCACAACCACACCCACCACCACCTAACTAACCTTCTCCAACCGCACCCTCAACCCCTCATTCACCACCGCCTCCACCCTCCCCATCCCATCCACCTCGAACACAAACAAATCCACCGGCACCGACCCATACACCACAGCCGTCACCCCCACCCACGTCGCACAATCCGTCACAAACACCCCGCCCTCACGATCCTCCCCACTCGCCTCCTCAAACGTCGCCTTGAACGCCACGCGCCGCCCCCCGTCGGGCCGCGCCTCCTCCAGCCCGGCCGGGTATAAGCGCACGGAGGGTTTTAAGTAGGGGAAGAGGGACGAGGAGATGTTGCTGGCTAGCGCCACGGTGAGGAGCGACATGTCCGTGCCGTTGGACAGCCAGTGCGTGACGTTGAGGCCGGGGGCGGTGGCGTCGACGGTGATGGTGAGAGAAGAGTTGAGGGGTGGGGTCAGGGTGGTGGTGTTGGTGTGGATGGTGGTGTTGGTGTGGATGGTGGTGTTGGTGTAGGGGGCGGGGCGGGGTGTGGTGGTGGTGGTGTTGTTTGGGGGTGCGAGGCTGGCGTGCCGGTAGTGGCCGGCAAAGGTGAGGCTCGCTTGGGCTCGCGCGATGTACGAGAGGGTGGGGATGTAGGTGTTGGTGAGGGTCTCGGCGATGGCGTTGGTGATGCCCGCGGGTGCGTCGCCGGCTGCGAGCACGCTGATGCCGATGTCGAGTTCGGGGATGAGCGCGAAGAGGGAGCTGTAGGAGCCGATGCTGCCAATTTTGTTGAAGGTGTGCACGAACTGGTAGGTTTGGTCTGTTTTGTTATTATTTTGTTAGTTCGTGTTGCGACGGGATCCTTTCCAAAGATTTAGAGACGGACTTTTCTGTAGCTCGATCCGCCGGATGCCCCATGGCATGCCGACCGCCGCTTTCGGGTCCGAGCTGAACGATGTCGGCTTTAACCATCGCCTGGTCATGGCCGGTTTGATCAGGGATGATCTCAGTATAGCACGGCCAAGTGATGACATGTCACCTGTCGAGGTGTACATGTTGCCGGTCCTAAAAATAGCACTTAGCGCAAATCAAAAAATAACAATTCGGTTGCACCCTTACGCTTTTTCCTCGCCGAGCTCCGCCCCCCATGTCGTCTTCCGCTTTGTTCCTGGGATGATGCTGACAGACTCAACCGGCTCGTCATAGAACGTGTGCTCAAGACCCAGGGGCGTCAACACGGCGTCCGTGACCAGAGTCTTGAACGTTTTGCCCGTAATACGTTCCGCCACGAATGACAGCAACACGAAACCAAGATCGGAATAGGCCGGCGTTGTGTAGGGCGCGAATGACGGCGGCAGTTTTGCCAACCCCTCAAATAGCTGTTTCCGATCACAAGTCGGGTTGGTACCACAGGGCGGGAACGTGCCGTTGGGCAGAGGAGGGAAGCCCAAATTGTGCAGGGTGGTCATGTTGATTTGGTAGCTGAGCTCGCCGAGCAAGGCATCTGTTTATTCCGGTTAGCGAGTGATTGTAGTTGAACATTGGGAACATGTACAGTCTCGAATCAACCCGGACATCTGGCTCGCAAGCGAACCGACTGTGATGGACTCCCAATCAGGCCTAAATATGGGCGAACTGGAGGCATTGTTGGCGATTTCCGCTATCTCTGGTAGATGCTTTGTAATCGGGTCGTTCCAGATCCCGTCTCCCACCGTCGCCAAAAAGGTAAGTACCGTGAAAATCTTTGTGACGCTGCCAATCCGGAAGACGGTGTTGCCATCCACTTTGGTAACGCCACTGTTGTTGAACGTATTCAGGTTTGGAGCTGTCCAATAACGAGACCATAATGGCAAGCTCTCACTGCCAGTAAATACCTCCACAGCATACGAGAAGTATTGCGAGCCGGTGCTGGTATCATTGTCGATGTTCTTGAAAAAGACGTCGTCCAGAGTCTTGGCCACGCTGGCGATCACTGGACTCTTTGAGAGGTTTGTCGGCCGAGGAAGCAAGGGGCCATAAAGAGGGCAGTTCTGCTTGGCTGCCGAAAGGGTCACAAGTGAAACCAACGTCACGAGGGCGGCGGTAGCGAAATGCATCGTGATTCTCGTCTTGGATGGCGTGAGGATGATGTCTGGTGGAGTTGGAACCGGGAACCGCCTTCACACAGCGGGATTGTTGAACATCCTAGTTCTGGCATTTACCTATTAATTATCCGAGCAGATCAGTCTTCATAAACCCGGAAGCCCCAGAAAAAGAGTAGCAGTACAATTACCCCCGGTAGCACTCTGTCGTGGCCCATTGACAAGGAACACTGTCAGGTGTCCCTTACTTTAACTCGGGATGTGGTTCGGATGACTTGCCGCGCAATGGGGCCATGCAAGGGACCTTCGGATCTGGCCGACGGCTAGCAAAGACGGCAATAGTTTGGGTTCTACAAGCTATGTATGAAGCTTCTGTGCGTCTTCGAAACAATTACGGAAAGTCGAGGCCCGGCGGCCCCCTTTCTAGGGTCACATTTGAGACTCTTAGGCAGAGTTTTTCATATCAGAAATATTGGAGCAATTATGCTATGCCAAGAAAGGATATCAAGTTTTAGAGGCGAGCTTTTCTTAAAGAGAACCAGGCTGCCGGTTCGAGATCGGCAAGACCGGGGCCTTTTGGGCAGTCTGCGAAGGACTTTGGGTCGGAGGCAGGGAGACAGACTTTAGGCTGAGCGAACGAGGCAAAAATAGACGGGGCCGATGCAAGCGTAAATGAACCCATAATACCCCAGATATAAGGGATCGACATAGGATCCGACTTCATTCGCGTTGCCGTGTTCCTGGTTGGTAGGTGTAAGCAGACGCAAAATCAGTCAGGGTTTCTAGGCAAGTCCTGACTCCCACTTGCCCCCTGGATCGACGCGGTGGCGTGTATTGGATTATGGGAAGTAGGAAGAATATACCGGGCAACAGAGCTGAATTACATCGGAGTATAGGGGGGGGGGGCGCATTGTATTGAACCATGAGAAATGAAACGAACATGGCGACGACTTCCTTTAGAAAGCCCAAGAATACCACCGCTGATTCAGCGCCATAACAGCCACCCTTGGGGAATCGAGTAGCAACGCCATTGCCAAATGCAGACAAGCCTGATATATCTATCCCCAAAGCCGAGGCCATCCGCCAAAGCCGGACACCGCGATTCCAATCCCAGCCCATAATCTAAACCATGCCCTTTAAAAGCACCGCCAGCCCAGTCACTCACTTTCACACACCTCCTCCCACTCAGTCCCCCCTCCGCCTCAAAAACAACTCCATCACCGCGCGCCTCCTCGCCTCCCCGACCCTCCTCTCCTTCGCCCCCTCCTCACCCAACCCACGACAAACCACCGCCCCAAAAACCTCCACCACCCTCCTCTCCCTCACCCTCCTCCTCTCCAACCTCGCCAACGCCTCCCCCACCGGGCCACCACCACCAATCGTCCCCCTCCTCACCAAACTCAGTGACTTCCTTCCCACCCCGCCCAACACGCCGCCAATCCCCATCCCAGCACCCCTCACCGCGGGGCCAGCCGACGACGGCGACGCAGCGGGATCGTTCCGGATAACCTCCAAGTCGATCCTAGACAAGGGCGCTAGCTCGGACACGACGCGGGCGAGGGTGGTGGTCAGGAAGACGAAGCAGATGTTGTGGTTGGGGGCGGACTGTAGGATGTCGAGGAGGGTGGAGCGGTCCGTGTTGAGAGTGGCGTCGTCTGTTCCGGCGGTGGTGGCGGGGTTGGTGAGGGAGGGGATGGAAGGCGCGGCATCTTCGATGCGTGCCCAGAGTGCGGCCGGGACGATGCCGTCGGTTAGGCCGCGCAGGAAGAGGAGGAGGGTTTGGGAGAGGGCTTCGAGACGGTGCAAGGAGGGGGTTTCTGGGGGGAATGCGGAGGGGAGGGGGGTGTTCTGGTCGAGGGCGGAAAGGAGGGAGAGGATGTGGTTTGTTCGGGTGTCGACGTCGGTGGATTTGCAGGCGGCTTCGTCGAACGGCCAGCCGGGGTCGGAGGGGATGGTGCAGTCTTCCAGCATCTGGGCGTCGGCCACCACTCGTTGGGTTACGGTCTCAATCGCTTCAGTGAGTTGGAAAAGCTCTCTGGGAGCTGGCCGGTGGGCAGGCAGATCATGCGGGATCGGGCCGGTGCTGCCTTTTTGTTTTGAGAGCGAATGGGCAAAGGCTCGGATGCCGCTATCGGGGACCCGGATGAGCTCCTCAACGGAGCGGCCAATGCAGGTGGGCGACCAAGACGCGCGAACAGGGACAAAGTGGTCTCGACCGTTTGTTACTCTGAGCACAAGAACCTCCTCCAAGGTCGATTGCCCTGCATTAAGCATTTGGGCGTGCGCCACTTCGGTAACCGAGGCATCGAGCACAGCATTGAGTGTCTCCCCAGGCTGTAGCGTAACCTCTCTCCCAACGTCGACGGGCTCGGTGTCATCGTCTGCGGCCTCCGGGTGCACAAAAGAGGTCATCAGCCATGTTGTCTGGGCTGGATTGTCACACTCTGTGTCGTTTGTTGCCTGGTTCTCGAGGAAGGATAAGGTTGCAGGGACACCACCGGTATTCGCTAGCGTCAGTGTAGCAGTCTTTTTGTCGAGGAATCGGATCTCCCCGAGGTCAATGTGCGTTGGGGAGTCCGAGTCGTCAAGTCGTGGGTGATCTCGAGGATCGTGGCGGTCAACCACAACAGTGATTACCGGCCGCCCCTCGTTTTCCGCCCTGTCCAGCTCTCGCGCAACCTCAGCATGCACCTTGCCCTTTAATTCGGGGACGACAGCATCGTAATCCAGCGTGAAAATGGTTGTAACGGGTTTGTGGTCTGACGACGTAATCCTCTGGTGGGAGGTGTAAAGCTCAAGCCGTAACCTGTCGTGGCCCGGTTGACTGGGGTTTTCGTCACCGCCTCCGTCCTCGGCCTCGTCATATTCGTCGTACTCTAGACTCTTTGAAGTTGGTTGTTCCTCGCCATCATTTTCGGGGTCGTACGAGAATAGGACGTCGTCGTCAACGCCCTCTTCCATGCCTCGGGCCTTCATCTCCTCATCTTTCTTGCGTGTGTCCTCCTCTTCCTTGACTTTCTTCTCGTACCTCTGCATGTCTTCATGGGTGCGATACAAGACCCGGTCACACCAGCTAGGCGGCCGGCGCTTCTCGCTGGAGTCGAAGAGCGTGACAGTACCGACATCATACTTATAAGTCGGTAAGAAGGTGATGGTGCCCTCTCGCCAACCCTCGTGGAAAACCTTGCGTTGTTTGATGAGTCGCTTGAGTTGGTCGTGTGGAAGGAGAGAGTCAAGGGTGGCTTGGAGCGATGCGGGATCCCCATGCGGGTCTTCAGGGAACTCCTCTGGATCCGGCAGGTTGATCGAGTCGTCATCTGACCCTTTGGAGGCAGCCGCGTTGGTCTCAGTTGCTTCCTGAGGTTGGTCGCCGGGATCTCTATCACCAGCCTCGTCGCTACTATCGGATAGGCGATCGACCACGATGGGCTCTCCCTCGAGCGAGCTCTCGCGGCGCAACTCCCGCTTGGATAGGTCGTATTCGCCTCGGGTGTGGAGCAACAACAATCGCCGGATGTCGTCGCCAGGCAAGCGATCCAAACGAAAATTGAGGTCACCAAACCAAAAAGCGAAGTCCTCGTCACCAATCTTGCCTTTCTCCTCTTCAGAAACACCGGAAATGGTGATGGGCTCGAATCGTGCTTGAGTTATGATCTGTTGCGCCTGGCTGACTCGGCGATCCAGATAATAGTCCTCAACGCCGCTCGCCAAGTGGGAATTAACAAACAATAACTGCGTGGCCTCTCCGACCACAATGCGGGTGCAAACTGCCCCCTTGTTCCCCAAGTATCCGAGGGCGCCAGTGCCGACGGCGCTGGTGCTGACATTGCTTATTGTCGGGGCAATCTCAGGCGAGGCGTAGGCCAGCAACAGCAGACCCGCCAACTGCTCGGCAGCAACAAGCTGGTAGTCGGTTGGCAGCGCAGCCTCAATAGCTGCCTTCCACTTTGTCATCGTCGTGTCGTCGGCGGTGTAGATCCAGGACATGTACTGGCTCGGGGCCGTGAGGACATTAACCTCTTGAAGCCCGAGAACGTAGAGCCCGATCCTGCCTTTTTTTGAGAGCTCTATGGGTTCCCCAATGTCATGGAACCCGTCCTGGCTCCCTTCCCATTGCCCCGTTCCATTATCGGGCGGCTTCGACGACCCGAGGGCGGGGTCCAACCCTTCCTCGTCGATGAACCACCTGGCAAGGTCTTTATCCGTGCCCGGGCACGCGGCGACATTCCAAGTTCCAATCTTTATGCGCATGCGATGGAGGCGCACATATTCGGAGCGGCGGCCGTGAACTGCGCTATGGAGGGAGTACGGGTTCGTGGAGAATGGATCGACGGCTTCGGCGGTCGCAGAACCGGTGGGCGTCGCTGAGGAACCCATCACGGCATCTAAGGTGGGTGGGCCGACCCGGGGGAGGGGCTGTCGTGTATTCGGGTGGTAGGCGCAACAGCGAGTACGGCGGGCAACTTTTGGATGTATTCGTGCGCCTCTCGGACTCGAGAACCTGACCCTCGGAGGTCATTGGTGGAGGGGTAGGAAGGTGCAGCGAACGGTACAACAGCGCCGGGTACAGAAAGACGCTCGTTGGATTTGTAGAAAGCGGTGTTATAAAAAAGGTGGCAAATAAATAACAACAAGCATCATGGCTGCCGTTGGGATGGGCAACGTGTTGTTGTGGACTTGTGGCAACAGTTGTGCGCGGCTCTCAGAGTTGAGATGGAAGTTGGAAGCGGCCGACATCCCTAAACCACCTCAGGTCCAGGGGCTTTCGACCGATCTCGGGCGTGCTCGGCGTGGTGGGCGCCTGGAACCCTGGTCCTGCGCGGGGATTGATGGTGGGGAATGTGGGGAAAACCGTCGCCTCGTGGCCGCTTTCAACACCTTCAGCCCCGATTCGACTCGCCGCCGCCGCTGAGGCCACTCCAGGCAACCGAATGTCGGTCTTGATTAATAGCCCTTCTCCCCCTTCAAACCGTTTTCTCGGGTCTCGGATTTTATTCTCTCTTCTATCAACATTGAGAACCTTCAATCAGACACCCACGCTTCTAATAACGCAACAACCCCGAAGATCTCCGCGACAATCATCACATCATCATTACAAAAAGTACCAGGGCCGTGGTATCATGGCCGAGAGTAGTAAAGCGCCATCAGACAAGGCAAACAGCGGTGCAAGGAACAACCCGCAACCATCTACCGGCAGTGGCGTCACTTCAGAAGAGATACATGCGATGTTCGAGGCAGCCAGGGCAGCGAGCAACCACTCCTCGTGTTAGTGAATGTCCGTTCAAATATGTTCGAATCTGGACGCTGATGTTTGGCACTAGCGACCCCCACCCATAACGGTGTCTCCCCAGCTGTCGCCATGGAAGCATTACTGGACATGGAGGCGGAGGGCATGCGCGAGGACCTGGCGGACCCCTCGACCACCCAAGAAGAGCGCGCCCGGATTAGGCAGCGGCTAGAGTAAGGCCAACCCCATGGCTCGGGATGCTCACGAATGACGGGCCTGGACTGACACGGAGACAGGGAAATGCAGGTCCATCAACAGACGCAGCGACGTTGGCAGGAGATGACCAGAACACTTGAACCACCTGCGTGAGTCTATTCATCTAGCTACCTCCTCCTGGTCCAGCCAAGATTCCACCCTTCGCAATCAGCCTGGTCCCCATGCTGACAGCTTTGCGCCTAGGCCCAGTACCCATCCTTCTTCTGCGCCGAGTGCAAGCGCCCCGTCCAAAATGGGGAAGGAATCGTCTCGTTGAGCTTGCCTACTTTGCTTGCCTCCCGCACTCTTCATCCCATTATCTCGTGCCGTTGGTTTTTGTACCATTACCAGTACCAGTGGTCTTCGTGGCACCGGTCTTCGTGACACTAGCCTTCGTGGTATTAGTGGTGGCATTAGCCCTCGTGGTGCTAGTGTTCGTGTTGCTGGCGTTGGCCTTTGTGGCAGTAGGTTTTGTGGTAGTCGTGGCACTCGTTTTTGTGGCAGCAGTCCTAACGGGCAGGGTCGCGGTTGGGGCGGGCGCGGCTGCCGGAGGCGGGCCATGCTCCAACTCATACAACATGGGCAGGGCGGCCACCGAGGTAACCGGAGCTGGCGGGCCGCAGGTCTCTGATACTTTTGTCAGTATGATGATCGGACATTGGGGGGTTCAGGGCCCGGATCTCGCGGGCTAGGCAATCGAAAGGGCTTGGCCGGGAAAGGCTTACTCGTGATGTTGGCGTTCCGGGGCTTTGCCCGCGCCTGGCGGAGCATCAGCAACACATTCTTCTGCGTCTGCGACGACATTGCGATTGCTTAATGTATGAGGTGGAGGGGTGTTGTTTTGCGATTGGGTTCTGGTAATAACGGAAGAGGAGACCGGTATGTCTCTGTGTTTCGACTTCTTGCGGTTTTAAACGGTTTTTTGGAGGCGAGGACGAGGCCTTTATTATACCGATGGGGAACAACGGCGGGTACAGCCCCAGGGCCTGGCAGCCATCTTTTACTATCCGCTTCTGCGTTGGCCATTCTCAGCCATGACGAGCGGCTTTTTTCTGTCGGGGTCATAGCTTACGCGACCGGGTGAGGGAAATCCTGCGGTCATCCTAGACGAAACTCGTTTGTGTCGACTCAAATGCGGCGCGGCGGGATCTGACATTGTCGAAGTGGCGGATTGCGGCGTCCGTAAACGGTCGGCGGGCACACAACCAAACCCCCTGAGACGGATGGGGAACAATTACGCGCCGGGCAACTGCGTACTTTTCCTGTGGGAACCCCGCGAGGCCAAGGCGGCGCAGTTCACGATAACCAGATCTCATGGCTCAAAAGCTTACTGTCTTGTGGGGTTATGGCCGGTTACAGCAAGGGGCTCAACAGTTACTGGGCAGTTCTGCCAAGCAGATCACGGGCACTACTGTTTCACCCGACATCCTTTGATGGTGAGATAAGGTTTACAAACCTCACGGAGCATAGATGGGACTAGAGGGGCGACGTGACCCGCCGGCCCTCGGAGGATTTACGGTTATTATCGATTATAAGCGAAAGGAAGCTGTCTAGTATCCCCACTAGCTGACCGTAGTTGACCTTGGCCTTCCCTCGCCGCATTGTCATGATGGCCATGCCCCACGAACCCTTTGAAACTCGGGGACTAGCCACATAAGGTTTGCGGAGAGTTTCAACGAGGCCCTAGGACTCAAGGTCAGCACACCTTTCCAGCCCCCAAACTCTGAGTTCGAGAATCCTGCGGCCCTCGTCAGCACCTAGCTGGAAACTTCCCGCGCCATTGAACACCCGGATTTGGGACCAAGAGCCAAGTATAGCGCGGCACCGCCAGATGGCCCTACGGTTGGTCTCGGCGGCGGCATCAAGTGTCGTCCGTTGTGCTGACGTGGAAACTGGTCCTTCGATGACTCTAGATCAAGGGGTCGAAAACGAAACCCCTGCCCTTGATGGTGCCGTCGGCCGCGAGAAGGATATAAGGCCATATCCTGCCATCGACTACCAACTCCCTCTCCATTCGACATCTGACTACTCACTCTCGCCTCTGGTTAGGTTCTTGACGTTGAAGTCTGATCACAGCTCACTCTGATCCATATTTTCTCATTCCCCACATCTCCCTTGCTTTCCCTCTCTCCCTTTTCTTCCTTCCTCTTCTCCTAAAACTCCATCATGTCGACCAGGGGCGGTTCTCCTCCTCCTCCGCCGCCGCCGGCCGAGGCCGTGGCAACTTGGCAAGGCATCTTTTCCGAAGGGCCGTACACGGCGCTGAAGATGGTAGAATACATTCTTCAAGCAGGCGGACAGAGTGTTCCGAATTTCGTGGCAAACCCCGTCGAAACCGTGAAGGATATCACGAAGACCCAAATCGTCGACAAGCACGACCTTAACCAAATGCGGCCCGTCTGGGCCAGCAAGACTGGCCGCTGCACATCCTTTGCTGTCAAGGCCACTGCCATCCTATCTCAAAAGGTCGACGCAAAGAAGAAGCCGGTGTATAACTTTGCCACCTACGATTTGGCGGGCCACCGCGTTGCGCGCTGCCTGAAGACGGAGGTTGTCATTGACTCCAGCTCCACCACCCCCGGCGGCGCCTTCGTTCTCCCCGAGGGTCAATGGAAGAAGTTCGAGAAGACGGAGGCCAGCTGGAAGTTCAAGTCCGAGCCCAAGTCCAAGTCCAAGTTTGAGAGAGATGGTAACCCTGACGGCAAGGTGGTACGTTATTCTGGAGCCACTTTCCTTTCCTGGGGGCCTCTTCTATCATGAACCGTGCTAACCAAAACGATACAGGCAGCGGCCTACGCTCTCGATAGCCCAGCCCAGGCCATGTACTTGTGCCTAGCGGGCGTAGAAGCCGGCGTGAAGTACGGCATCCCCACCTTGTTCCGCAGCATCAGCCCTCAGGGCCAACCCCTCTACCATGGCATGGTGTCCTGGATGCCATACAAGCGCTGCATTGAGCTGGTCCCCAACATCAGCAAGGAGAAGAAGAAGCAGAAGCTCGTCATTCAATGGGGGAAGACGAAGGCGGGCGCCGGAACCGACGCCGATTTGGAGAAGTGCGTCAATGAGCTGGAACAGTTCATCAAGAACTACGGCGGCCCGAATGGCCCCGAGCAGTGGGAGGCTGACGGCATCAACGAGTTCAGCGATTACTTGTTCGCCGCCGCTGTTGAGCTCTGGGGCAACCCCAAGCTCGTCAACAAGATGACCCCCACCGCCTAATACCGATACACGAGATATGTGGAAAAGCTGGGTATCGCCTTGGGGAGTGATTGCTGCTGTTTAGCTGTCTGTTGCGGGCAATAGGCGAAGTTGGATAGGATATAGATGAGAGTTTGGACTCTTCAGGTCGGTGGACGGTGTTAGTAAGGCAGTAGGTGGATGAAATAAATACATTCGTACCATTCAAGGGCCACTCTAATCCCAAGCTTTTCCCCTTCCTATGTCATGTTCTGTCTGGCCCATCCCATGCTCGCTGCTCCCAAGTTCGGCAAGTTGATTTTATGAAAAACACCCACCCGTCTTATACCCTAGACCAACCACCCTTTTCAAGTCTTAAAGCTTTTCAGCGCTTGCCATGTGATGCTCATCCAACCAGCACTCACAAGCGATCGCCCTCCTTGGCATAGTAGCCCCATCTTCCCCTCATGCATTGCTGCCTAGTCGTTAATGTCCACCACGTCTTCTTAAGCAGAGAGTTGCAGACTCAACGACAACGAATTCCCCAGCTTTGTATGTTCAATCACACCCGCAACATTTAGAAACAAACCAATCCCACGGCATCGGCAACCCATTCACGCCATGTCAATACCAACACAAACCGAGACGAGCCGCCAGCGCCCACGTTACTACCCGACCTCATGTACGATGCGCTCCCCAACGCCACCTCGATCCGGGTCCTCGACCTCCTCGAGGCCACCGCAAACGGAATCCGCTGCAACATGCACGTCGTCGACCTGGACCACAACCCCGCGTACGCGGCGCTGTCTTACACAACCCGCAACCCCATCACGGTCCACGAGCGCAGCCTCTCCGACCGGTTCGTTCTAGACCATCTGGAGGCAGACAACTTCACGCCCCCCTTTGAGCGCTCCGTCTCCAATCCCACCCCTTCTGAGCCGGCGGTGCCGGAGGTCTTTGCCGTTGTCGACGAGGCCCGCCGCGAGTACTACGAGCAGACGCCCGAGTACGGCCAGAACATGCCGTACGAGCGCGTCGATGACGACGACAGCACCCCGTTTGTCATCGAGGTCAATGGGTGTGCCGTGCGGGTTGGTGAGAACCTGGTCCGGTTTCTGGTGTCGCTTGCAAATCTGGGGACGCAGATGGCGGAGGAGGCGTTGGAAACCCCTGAGCTGCTCGAGGCGAGGGACACGCTATGCTTGCCTATCTGGATCGATACCATCTGCATCAATCAGAAGGATCTGGATGAGAAGGCCGCGCAGGTGAAGCTGGCGAGAGCGGTGTTCAAGTCGGCGCGGCAGGTGTTGAGTTGGGTTGGGCCGAGTGACAGGTTAGGGGACCTGGCCGTCGAGGCGGTGAACATTATCCTCGACTACATGCATTCTCAAGAGCTCCGGAAAGGAGATCGTCTAGGTATTGCCTTGGACCGCCCATTACCGGAGATGTTTACGCTTTCGAGCATCATAGAAATGACGGCGGCGCATTGGTTTGGGCTCTTTGCCTTTTTTCAACGAACTTGGTTCCGTCAAGCTTGGGCTGCTGTGGCGGTCATCCTCGCCCAGCAGACGTACCTGATCTATGGTGAGAACATGCTGGATATGGCTCTCATTGTTCGGGTGCTGTCATTTCTAGACAACCGAGGCTTGAGCTCGGAGTTTTGTGCCTTTGGCCGCTCATTCCTTACCGACGAGGCCGTTTCAGACCCGCTCAAGCACCTTACGAAGGTCATCGCCGCGGTCAACTTGAATAATGGAGAGCCCTCGTCTGTTTCGAACACGAAGGCGCTTGTGGTGGAACCGAATGACATTTTCACCTTCATACGTGGCTTCCACTACATACGACGATCCGACCGGCTTAGGCTCACGTCTGTCCTCTCAGCACTCCGTGATCTCGACGCCGCCGATCCCAGGGATAAGACTTTTGCCTTCCTCAGTCTGGCCGACAACGACTTAGGCATCGTACCAGACTATGGTGCAACTGTGCAGGATGTATATAAAACGGCCGCCCTGGCCATGCTGGAGGAAAAGCACCTTCTCCGCCTCCTTTCCCAAGTCCAAGATGCTCAGAATACCAAGATCCCAGATCTCCCAAGCTGGGTCCCGGATTTTAGCGCCCGGCTCGGTAGAGTGCCGTTTGATAGGGGAACTTCTAAGGAATGCCATTTCCACCCCTTTGGAGAGACTCTATGGAACTATGTGGTCCGTCCTGACGGGACGTTACCCGTCGTGGCCATCCGCGTCGATACGGTGTGTACCGCCACAAATATGGACATCGACCCCGTGCCTCAGATCCTGAAGGTGGCCCTTGGTTCGCCGGTGCGGTATCCCGACGAACCCCTCACTTGGAGTCTCGTAAGGACAAACGACGGGAAGTCCTCCGAGCAGCTCCGTCTACGGACTATTAGTCGTGTCGAGGCATTATGGCGAACTCTACTGGCGGACAACGTCAGAGCGGAAGGATACTCTCCGGGTGAGTTCGCTGAGTATCTGGGCAATGGGTTCGCCAGCTGGGTGCTTCAGGACATCTTGGAGACACGCGTTGCCGTCCACGCACTTGCTGAAACCAAACAGCAATGGGTGCGAGTGTTTGGGCTGGAGTCATTTTCATCAAAAGTGACCCTATGGTCGGCCATGTACGATGGCAACCAGATCGTGCCAGATTCGGAGGTGGTCGAGGCCAATATTTCCTATCGTGATCTTGTCATCAACAAACTCCGTCGCAGAAGGCAAGACGAACGCGAACAGTACCAGCTCGACCTCCACCTTGGCATCCCGGAACCTACAGTTGGCATCCGCCACTTCCCCACTGCCAACCGGCTGATGGAATGTGTAAACGATCCGGTCGACGAACTAGATGCCGAAATCGTCCCAGAGAATCTTTCGGGGGCTTATAGAGCCAACGCTCGCTCCCGATTGACGTCGGAAGAACGAAAGAGCGCGGCATGCTTCGAGGAAAGGATGCGAATAGCTACCCAAGGGAGGTCATTCTTCCGTACATCGCGCGGGCGTCTTGGCCTTGGTCCTAAGTCAATCGGCAATAATCCAGGGTGCAAAGATGAGGTCTGGATTCTGCAAGGCGCTGATGTCCCCTTCATTTTACGGCATGAAGAGGGTGACCGTTATCGAGTCGTCGGAGAGGCCTATATTCATGGTAGCATGTACGGCGAGAAAACAAAGTATCCTTTCTCCCGGGAATTCATCACCCTAATTTGAGGTTTGCTGAAAAAAAATAGAAATTGGACAAACATGGTGGATGAACAACATCATCATTGCATTTATAGGTACGTTCCGCGGTCTCAAACCGACTGTTCTCGCTCGTGAGATCGGAAGCTTTCAGGGATCAAGAATGGGGCCGAGAAACACCATCATCAGACTTCGACATCACGCCTTCAACAACACCACTACGCGTCGCTCGTTGCCCGTGTCGGAATACGACGCTTGGAAAACGTGAGAACTCGCCCTCATCTCAAGCCGCAGCAGATGTTTCGCGGCATTTTTTTACTCCCTCATTCATTCCCAACAAAAGCGGGTGGGAGATAAGGGACGTGTCTTGGGTGCCGTCAGCTCATAAAGCGTAGAGACATTCATCATCCAGCATCCCCTCCGAGATAGCCAATGGAACCTCGAGAGCGGTACCGAGAGGGAGTGGCGGCAACCCAAAGGAGCAGACCGAACCTGGTGCCGGCCAAAGCACCTCATATGCCGAGGGAGGGCTCTCGTGAGCAAGTGCCCGGGGGTGGATTCTCCGTCTTGGGCTCTTGGTGTTTGCTCGACGGCGCGGGAAGCGTGGGGAAACAGAGTCGTGAAACCGGGTAACTGGTTGCGCCTGGACCAAAGAGACGACGGGGACCCCCTGACAACCCTGCAGATCCGAGCCCAGAGGCTTGGCTCGCCCGCTCTAGGAATTAACGGTAAGGCTGCCGGACCCCCTGTAATATATTAACCGGACCGTAGCCCTCCGCCAACCCCCTGGAGGGAGCCTCGGATCGGCAACTCCCTGCACTGACTCGGTTTAGCGCTCGTAGTGTTGCATTCATTCGTCCCCGGAGAGCCGCCAGCCAAGCACGGCTCCCCACATGCACTCCAGACTTCGAGCAGTTCATGCGGGAGCGAAATCCGGGGGGGCGAGGAGGGATCCAGCTGCCGGCGGGAAAGAAACATGGCTCACGAACTTTGAAAGCCGGGGCCCTTGGAGCCCAGTGCCGCCTATATAACGTCTCTCCCATTGACTCATGGCGAGCAAGTTCGAGTGCATTATCCCTATCCTCCTCCTCCCATCTCCACCACAACCATGAAGGTCCTCGCCCCTCTGATGCTGGCTGGCGCCGCCAGCGCCCACACCATCTTCTCGTCGCTCGAGGTTGGCGGCGTCAACCAGGGCGTCGGCCAGGGTGTCCGCGTGCCCTCATACAACGGCCCCATCGAGGACGTCACGTCCAACTCGATGGCCTGCAACGGCAACCCCAACCCGACGTCGTCGACCTCCAAGATCATCACCGTCCAGGCGGGCCAGAGCGTGACGGCCGTCTGGCGCTACATGCTGAGCACGACCGGCTCGGCCCCCAACGACGTCATGGACAGCAGCCACAAGGGCCCGACCCTGGCCTACCTCAAGAAGGTCGGCGACGCCACCTCCGACTCGGGCGTCGGCGGCGGCTGGTTCAAGATTCAGCAGGACGGCTACAGCAACGGCGTCTGGGGTACCGAGAAGGTCATCAACGGCCAGGGCCGCCACACCATCAAGATCCCCGAGTGCATTGCCCCGGGCCAGTACCTCCTCCGTGCTGAGATGATTGCCCTGCACGGCGCCGGGAACTACCCGGGTGCGCAGTTCTACATGGAGTGCGCTCAGATTAATGGTACGTTGTTACAAGTCCCATTAGGGTTATGAGGTCTGTGATTTAGGACGTTGGCTAACTCTCTTCTCAACAGTCGTTGGCGGCTCCGGCAGCAAGACGCCCTCGAACACCGTCAGCTTCCCTGGCGCTTACAAGGGCACCGACCCCGGAGTCAAGATCAGCATCTACTGGCCCCCGGTCGAGAACTACCAGATCCCGGGCCCCAGCGTCTTCACCTGCTAGGCGCTTTCGATAATGTCGTAATGAAGTGATGGGATGTGGGAAACGGTGGCGGTATTATTGATTGAATGATGTGGTGGCATTGCATCCATGGAGGTGGTCGACCATGGGCAGCCCCTTTGGTTGCCCTCCCACCTCCTGGCACTCTGTGGCTTCTTGTACATACCTAGCGTTAACACCGGGGATCACTTCCGGTCTGTTCAGCTTCTGAGCATCGGTGTGGTCCCCGCATGACTGTACATGATTTGTATAACTCTCATCGTTTACATTGTGCTTCCCCGTTGCTGCGGCGACTTTCAATTTACCTCAACGATGGGAACCACTACTGATCCCTGTATCCCCGCTCATCCCCATAATTCCGGAGCAATCTGATTGTAGAAAGATGGACATTCGGTAGCCCTAGTCGATTCTGAACCAAGTAGTCATGCGCGTGTAAAGATATCCCGGGCCTCAAGTCCTGGTGCCATGCGAGATCAACGCCCACGTTTATGGGAATTTGGGCTGGGCTTCGGCCATTCACGCCCCGTGTTCCTATTTTGGCGCCATCTTACTCCCCTGTTGCTGAAGAATGGGTAGCTCGGTGCTGATTATTGTCCAACGGTCCATCCAAGAACTTATCAACCATGACAATGCTCACATTTTCGGCCAAACAATACTGTTCTGGTGTCTAGGACGGCACAAAGAAGTCACTGCATCCCCTGTACTGGCCACACCCAGAACGTTCATTGACACCCCTTTACCAGTTCAAACTTTCTTTGAAATCGATATCTCCATATAAACGTATTATCCGTTCAAAAACTCCCAATTCAGATTTGATCTCACGGCAACACATCCTCATATCTGTCCGGCGGCAAATCGATAGCTGTATCCATCGCGATTGTGACTGCAATTTCTTTACATTTCTCGGCTGCTAGAAACATGGCTCAGGGCATCCTTGATCCGGCGTCGATGAGCTTGGAGATCTTGCCAGAAGCAACAGAAGAGGCTATTGATATGCTTTTCAGGTGGAAATCCTCGGCCGAACTAAGCGAACAGCTGGACAGGATTAACGATGAAGATGTCTGGCGTTTTATGTCTGATACATTTAACGGCAATAATGGCTCTTATTTTGAGGATAGTTTGGACTCTGTGCCAGCCAATCTAACAGTGGGCGAGGAAGTTGACATCACTACTATGGACACAACAAAGGAATTAGACCCGATCGAGGAGACGGACAAGACGGACAAACAGCATGGCACTGAAAGTTCAGGCGATGACTACCCCGAATCCCTTGCCTTGACGGCCAGGAGTGAAGCTGGCAATTACGATCACGGCGCATCTCTTGCCCTAACTCCCGAAGTCCTACCTGATGAATATGAGTCCATAGTTGCCGATACCATGGATGACTGTTTTTTCCTTTTAGGTCAGGATTCAGTTCAGACGGATTCCGATTCAGTCCCTCATCAGTCTAACAACCCACAACAGCCATGGGCCCCAGACATACATGAGACAGTTCAGGATGATTCCGAGCCGAGAGTCCAAAGCCCGGTCTCTCACGACCTGGGTGATAATAAGCAATTTGAAAGTCAGCAATTTGCTGATTTTATGAATAACTATGGGCAGTTCGATGATTTCGATCCTTCCCAGCCTTCCTTTTTCGGCATGAACTGGGACCAGTTCTTTGATCCGCCACTTGAAACTCAATACCCCATCAACATGCAGTCAGCCTACTGGCAGGCAGCCTTGTCTGAATGGATCAAGCTTCGAGTTCCCCACAACCCCCAACAGACCGAGGCCAATCCCTTCGCACAGTTTCCGCCCATGGTTGTCGCGCCGCTGGTGGTCATCCAGACTCTCGGACCCGCGGTCTTCAACAGATATCCTTAAAAGCGGAAGAAGGAAAGTTTTCAAAGGAGCGACCGGTTTGGTAAAAAGGCGTATCTAGATGATGTGAATTGGGAGTGATGGTAGGTTCTTCTAGCAAAATACACCATATAATTGTTTCCTTAAGTTGTGTTATCGTCCGAATTCACATCAATTTCACTTTACGCCCAGCCCAATCCGAAAAGTGACCCATCAATGTTCCTGTTGACACCAATATTCCCATCGGCTGAATCCAAGTTGACGATGGTATTGCTCAAGTGTTTCGGGTTGCCCCTATTTCCATCGGGTGCTTATAACGCCGAAGCCAAAAGCTTCCATAACGATAAAAGACACTAGCTTCACCCAGGTTACCTGTGGCTAGATGAATGGCAGTTATAACATCAAACCCGGGAGTATCCGGCGGCAGGCATGTTTTAGCTTGGGGTAGCCGGCGCAAGCTTTGATTCTTTATGTGTTTTATCCCATATGATAGCGTTGCCATGCACCCAGGGAGTTATCAAAGCTCGCAGCTTGAAATGCTACCTAAATATGGGCCTCCAGCGGTGGCGCCGCTTCGGCGTGGGGGTAGGAGTAGCTTGAATCCGCGTTAGGCGACTGATAACAACCCACTCGAGCCAAACAAGCCGCAACGTGACAGGCAGCAGCATTGCACAGTCCCTTCCTACAGTACTTTGTAGGAGCAGCTTCCCGCTTCGGAAAACCCCGATGTCAGGGGCAGCTCCTCTCTTCGGCAGATTGCGGACAATGATTCGCCGACGGTGCGGCGCCCTGATGCCGATCTGCGGAAGCTCCGCGCGGGACTTTGGCAAACCTCGGCCCAATCAGTGTTGGAGATCTCACTCGTGCGGGCAGGAGCACGCATGGTTGAAACAACCCCAGACGGGACAGCAACGGCCACCGAATCTGCATGCCATTCAAACGGGAGACCAGGGGTTACTCCATTGTCTCGGTGAGATTTAAGGGTTAGCGGGTCGAAGAGTCCTAAACGTGCCTCAGTCTTCAGAAATAGAACGTCTCCGAGTAAGAGAAATAGATATGCTGATACCGTGGGGTGGTTGCATTGTTGAATGGGGTTCAAGCAAAGAATAGAAGAGATCTGCATCAACTAACCATTGAGTTATCGAACCTTCCGTTTCTGGACACACGCCCGCGGGCTCCTTCAGAGCTCAAGTAGCATATAAGTGAGGTGCACTTCGCACATACCTTAGTCAAGTCAACGTCTGGCACACGCAACCACTCTCCCAACCTCACCCCTACAATTCTCAGGTTTCCCTACCTCACAGACAAAATGGTCCGGGTAAGAAACATAACAGCCTCCTTCCATAACGCCCGAGTGCACGACTGCAGGCACTAACGCCGGGGCTAGATCATCCCCGCCCTCCTCACCCTCGTGAGCGTCCTCTCGGTCTCGGCCGCGCCCCTCCGCGCCGAGGTCGAGGGCCAGGTCGAGGCCCGCGCGTGCGCCTACACCTGCGGCAGCGTGTGCTACCAGACCACGCACATCACCGCCGCCCTTAACAAGGGCTACTCGCTTCAGCAGAGCGGCAGCGACGTCAGTGAGTCGCATCCGCGGTCTTTCACACCGCCACTATCACCACACGAACACCAACACCAACAACCCCTTCATGTCCCCATCCACCTTTACATCCCCCCCCCCTTCCCAAAAGAAAGATCGCCCCCATACTCACCACACCCCCCCTCACCCCCGCAGACAACTACCCCCACCGGTACAACAACTATGAGGGCTTCGACTTCCCGACCCCGGGCCCCTGGTACGAGTTTCCCATCATGGCCAGCCACAGCGTGTACAACGGCGGGTCGCCGGGGGCCGACCGCGTGGTGTTCGACTCGGACGGCAACTTCGACCTGCTCATCACCCACACGGGCGCGAGCGGCAACAACTTCCTGGCTTGCCGGGCTGGTTGAGGGGTGTTTGTTGGTTTGGTTTGGTTGTTTACCGCGCTGTTTGTTAGTAGCATTATGCATGTCAATTGCGACCTGGGTTGGGCGGTTGGCTGGGAATGAAATGCGGGTAAAGACATTACGGTTACCAGTGAACACACGTGTCTGTCGCCTGATCATTCTGTTGATTAATGGGGACACCAAAACTTGAGGAATGGCCGTAAAAAGTAACAGAGCAGTTCATGGACTGGATGGAATTCGGGAAGGCTATTGCGGATAACTGACGCCAAACTCTTCCTGCTCGTAGATGGTCCGAACAGACACGCCCCGATTCTCGGCAATGAAGCCGATGAGCTGCTGGCCAATGTCCTTGATGTCGTTGTACTCCTGTAGGCGGCGGATGTAGGTCTTGACAGTGGTGTCGGGTGGTTGGCTGACAAGAAGCTTGGTGTTAACGGACCGTATTGGCACTACGCAAAGTTGGCAGGAACAGGAGCACACACCTCAGTTCCGCCTCTGCATCTTGAAGCTCACTTGCTGTGCGGAGCAGTAATCTCAAGGTCTCTTGGGTTTTGGAGAAGGCGTTGCACTGACATTCGGGGAATCAGTTAGACAAGCGGTTGTCAACATAGCCCGGGGCACTACTCCAACGCAGGCTAGGTACGCACAATCTTGATCATATATCCGAGGTAATTATCCTACGTTGCCAAAATGAATTAGCTACCTGGTCAGGTATTCGGCGCTGAGATCTAAGTTCATACACTCATGAGGTATCTGAGTTCCCCCTCGTCCTTGGTTGCGATTTCGATGGGTTCACCCGAACCTGGTCCCGTAACGATGATGACTGATCCATCCTCGTCCCCAGGCTGCACACGAGCACTCATGTCCCACGGCTCGACATCCTTCAGGACGGTGATTGGCACGGTATTGGCTTCAAGAAGCCACTGCTTGTAGCTGTCTAATCGTAATTGAACCCTGGCGATAACGTCGTTGCGATCCCCGTCGTCGTTCCTTTTTTGCGCGAGCCATTGTTGGAATGAAGTGGCAAGGGATGTTTGAGTACGTATCGCGATCTCAATTGCATCATCGCCATCGGACAATGACGAGGCGCTAATTTTGACGCCGTTGTTGTCGGTCGCCATTTTGATGGAAGGTGGGCTCAGTGGGGACGCAAGCACTCTGAGGTTGAAAGTCGCCAAAATGGTAAGATACACAGTGGCTTGGTCGGGGATAAAACACTGTGCATGCTGGGCGAAGCTTGGGTTGCAAAGCGCGGGGTCGAGCGATCGCAAGTGGTGGGGAACTGTCGCTGCTTGCAACCTCCAAAACACAGGTTGGGTGCTTTGCGGGCAGTAAAAGCCCTACTCATGCACCGTTGTTCTTCCCAAAAAGCTCCGTCATACTCAACCGTTTCCCAGCGGCCGAATCCCCCGCGACGGCAACTGCATGCGGATCTCGCGCTAAGTTGCCGTTGTTTTCCATTGCCCCTGCTGTCACCGCTTGAATGTACGCGTCCAAGGCTTGACGGCCCTGTTTCCAGGCGCCCAAGATCAAACTCGCGTGCACCTCCCGCGTATTGCTCTCGTCGGCGTGGATCCAAAGCCCGAGGATCTTCTTTGCGGTGGCGTCCGCTCCCTGGTTGTTACCGCTGATCACAGCGCCGTCCTCCAGCCGAAAGACGATGAGCTCCCCTGACCCACCTCGCAATCCGTCACGCGCAAGAGGTCAATGATGAGGTTGTCCATGCTCCGGCAGGTTGAACACAAACACGCACACCCGCGGCAGTGTCTGGCCCGGTGGGTGCCATGACGGGCTCCTGCTCGCAGATGAACATGGTGCCCTCCGCCCCGTGCTTCTCCCACCCCCTGTGTAGCCTCGAGGAAGTTGTAGGCAACGGCGTTGGCGGCGATGGCCATGATGGACCGTATGCTTGGTTGATAGCGGCGCAGGACGCGCAGGCTAAGCTCGGTGTTGTCGCGGGCCGGCTGCGGGTTGGACAGGGGCATCGCCTCACGGTTCTCCATGTACTGGGCGGCATCGGACTCGTAGTCGGAGGCGGCCACTTGGCGGGGACCGCTGTTGCTTGCGTGGTGGCGGTGGCGCGACTTGCGGGGGGTTTGTCGGCTCATTTTGGGGGATGGAGCCTGCTGGGCTATGCTTCGATTTGTTCGGGTCCGTTCTCCGTCGGCGCGCGCGAGCAGGCTGGAAGCTGTGTCTGGATTTCTAGGTGTTTAGGTGTTCAGGTTGTGTGGGGGAAGTTCCATTGTTTGGGCGCGAAGATGGCCAGAGCCCGTTCCACAAAGTTAGCCCCACCTCGAATCAATGATGCCAGATGATAAGGCCAGTATTAATTGTTATCTCAACACTGTCTCGCTGGTTCGTCCCTCACAAGGTAGGTGGTTCCCATACTACACACCTGCCCATACGCGCGGCCGCAAGCCAACGACAATTTGGCCCCGACCGTGACAACCGACGATACCAGTCAAGAAACACCGACGCCTTCAACTCACCGCTATCCACCCGAGCCTTGTCCCTTCTAATCGCTTCTAGATCCGCATCGTACTGCTTCAGGTCCAGCAATTTCTCCTCGGCAAACACTTCCATCTCGTCTTCGTCAACCTGTTCTTCCAATGTCTTCCATTCCTCAACACCCACGTGGCAATGCAGTTCTGCAAGCGGGAAGGTATCCAGGCCGTTGATTCCGAAGGTGAAGAGCATATGGAACCACATGGCCCCTGAATCCTCGGACCACTGGACGAGCTCGGAGAAGATCTTGTCTTCTGGCCCTCGTAATTTGGCCTCCTCTTCTCGGAGGACGCGCTTGTAGAGTTCAAGGTGCTCAAAGTACCGTTCAGTGAAATCGGGCGGCTCCCCGTTGCCATAATTCCACCAGACGTTGGTAGGTCGATCCCGAAGCAACCACCACGGCGCCGAGGCCGCGAGCTGTGGCGGTCCAATGTACGGCCATTCCAGCCCCACGACACCGACCACGGTAAACTCGTCGTCGCTCTTAAGGATCAAATTCTCCAACCAGAAACCATCGCAAATCATCTTGAACGGACCCCGGTCCCACCGCTTGTTCACCAGGTATCGGGGGATCACAGTTTCTAGTACTTTGAACGATCGGAATATCCGCCTCACATCACGAGGATCAGATACAGAATTGAGTTGCTCAATCAACCGCTTATAGTCTTGTTCAAAGACGTACGTGAAGTAGTCGGTTGGCGACGACCAGCGTTGATTCCGATCTCCTGTGAACTCCGGTTAGTATAAATGGCCTCTAGGGGGGAGGGGAGGGGGGGGGGGGGAAACGGCATAATTACCAATCGTGTCGATCCCCCCGCGATGGAGAATTTCGTGTGCTTTCCATATTAAGGGCTGTGTTGGGGCGCCGAGACCACCGACTGACAGTGGCAGGCTGCCCAGGCTGTCGAAACTCAGATTGAAAAGCTCGAGCTGGTACCGGGCGAACCGCCGAAACAAGAGCTCGAGGTTGGCCTCGCTGATATCCTCGTGAAGAAGTTCCACTGTTGGGGTACAAAGATGGATGCCGGACACCCCCTCGACTACCTGCATCAAGATGAAGGGGCCGAGACCAAGTACGTTGTGGTCTGCGGTCCCCCAAACGTACACGGCTGGCACTGGGATGCTGGTGTGCCTTTGAAGGAGGACGAGTATCGCGACTTCCCCCATTTTCATTCCGTTAAATTTAAGGCCATAACAGACAAAACAGACCCCTGCAGGCGCAAAACGCAACCCACAAGACGCCGCTCAAAACTAATAACCTTGAACTTTAAGCAGTCCTCGACACAACATCGATTCCCTTGATTTGGCCATCGGCACGATACTCCTCCAACAAGGCCAAGAAAGTATGGATACCCTGGCTCCAGTTGCCACCTCTAGCCTTCTTGGCCATTTCCATCGGATCGCTAGATTGCCGCAGAGCCTCGCCCTCAGACGTGATGTAACCGGGGGTGCAGCCCATGACGGTCGCGAACCAGCCCGCACGCTTCATGATCTCGAGGGCCCACGCCTCCTCGGCCTCGCTCGTCACCTCGGCAATGGCATTTCCACCGACCTTAGCCTCGGCCTTTTCGATGATGTGGACAATGTGTTCGCCACCGATGTCGAGAGTGAAGGCGTTGTTGGACGACTGGCTGGACTGGGAAAGGGGCGCGAAGAAGAGGTTGGGGAACCCGTGCGTGGCTACGCCGTGAAGCGTGGAAGCCCCTTGGGTGTTCCACTTCTCGTCCAGAGATCTGCCGCCACGGCCGTAGATGTCGATGCCGGTCCGCACAGCCGGGCTGCCGCCGCCAATGCTCGGGGTTACGTAACCCGTGCTCAGGATGAGGATGTCAAGAGGATACTCCTTCCCAGCAACCACCAATCCACTGGTGGTCGCGGCGTCGACGCCCTTGCCGTCAGTGTCGACAAGATGCACGTTTGGCTGGTTGAAAGTTTGGAGGTATTCGTCGCTGAAGGTCGGCCGCTTGCACCTGGAATTCTGGTTAGCGCTGTCTTCTGTTGAACACCTCAATCATCAAAAAAAAGAAGACACCCACCAGATTGGGTACCATGCCTTGAGCTTGGCGGCCGTCTCGGGATCGTTGACGATGCTCTCCACGCGCGCCCTCATCTTCTCCGATTGGGGCGCGTCGAGCTTGTACAAACGCCCAACATGCTCCATAATCTTCTCTGGCGTGGGCTCAACGATGGGATACTTCGAAGAGCCGACGACGGCAGAGAAACTGCGGAACTCGGTCCACCCGTCTCCCACCATGTTCTCCTGGCCCTCTTCAGCACTATCCATCAGGTACAAATCTTGATTCAACCTCCGCTCCCGTTGCCAACCCTTTCCCCTTGCAATCTTTGTCTTCCTACGCGTCTCAAATCAGTCACCATCCATCGCGTGGCATCTTCCAGGGGGCCGATCCACTTACCACTCCTCAGGGTCAGTTTCACGCTGGCCGCGCCACGAAACAACCGACGGCGTGCGCTGGAACACATACAACTCTTTCGCATACTTGGCCAACCTGGGAACCGCCTGGATCGCGGTGGCGCCGGTACCAAGAATACCCACGCGCTTGCCCTCAAGACCCGTCAACGTCGCGTCCTTCGGGGTCCCGCCCGAGACCCTGTAGTCCCAGCGGGCCGTATGAAAGATAGGCCCCGCAAAGTTCTCCAGCTCGGGGATCTTGGGAACATGCGGCGTCGTGAGAATGCCCGACACCAGCAGCACATACTGGCCCTTCAGCGTCAGGTCCCTGCTCGGCTCGCCCGGCCCCCTTCCTTCAGTGGCCTCCACATTCCACAGCTGGGCCTCCTCATCCCACCGCGTCGCCTTCACCGTCGCCCGGAACAGCGCCTTATCATTCAGCCCCCACTTCTTGGCCAGCAGCTCCGCATACTCCAACAACTCCGCGCCCGTGGCGTACTTCTTGCTGGGGATATACCCCGTCTCCTCGAGCAGCGGCATGTAGCTGTAGCTCTCGATGTCGCAGTGCAGGCCCGGGTAGCGGTTCCACCACCAGGTGCCGCCGAAGCCGCCGGCGGCGTCCACGAAGCGGATGTCGTCGGGCCCGCTGGCGAGTCCGGCCTCGATCAGCCGCACCGCGTAGATCAGCCCGCCGTACCCGGCGCCCAGGATGATGAACTTGTGCCGGGCGCCGTCCTGGACGAGCGGTTTGGCGTTGAGCGCCGCGTGGTCCACCCACGGGTCCTCGGCCAGCGCGCGGAACCGGGCGCTGCCCGATTCGCGCAGCCGGACGAACTGGTCGAGCCCTTCGGGCCGGAAGCGTTTGGCGGCTTCGGCGGTGTACTTTTGCGTCAGCTCGTATACCTTGAGGTCTTCGGCGCTTGGGGCCGCGGCGGCGCCGCTGGCGGTTTCGGCTGGTGCTGCCATGTTGTTGTTGTTGGGGGGGGGCGTTTGGGATGGGATGTTATAGATTATTGCACGACACTTGGGGGCGGGCCTAAGGAGTGGTTTATATGGGCTTCCTGGTTGCGGCGCTGTGGAATCACGGCTCAAGGCTTGTTTGATATTCGGACTCGGGTGGTTCTGGGTTCGGTTCGGGATGCATCAAAGCCCGAAAGCACAGGGGAGGGACCAAGGGAGCCCAAAGATGGACGACAGGGAGCGAAAACGAATGCTACCGTCGTATTCGCATTCGTTTACTGTGTACGCTGCATACGAAGGACAGGCGCCAAACACGACATCGGGAACTCGGGGTGGTGAATCAGCCGCTCCCGTTCCTACAGGGCCACATCGTACGTGCCTAACTCAGCATTGCAGGGCCAACCTGGAACCAGAAGCGCACGCGGAAGACCTATCTGATCGCTCGAGCTCATAGGACGAACAGCTGCGACAAACGTGGCGTGCGGGGAAGGGATATTGATATGTCTCTGGTGGATGTAACTGAGGGGCAAAAGCAAGTGGATCGATGAGGTTGAATTCCCCGCCTTTGGTTGAGACAAGGAATTAGGAGAACTGCAAACGTGCCACCAAATTTATGCGTGGTATCCCTGTCGGATTCGGATATATCATGGGTGTTGGGAGTGGGAAATTGACAAGGTACATGTATGTTGCGGGCAACGGTAAGTAGACTCGCAGAGTGATTCTGCTGGGAGACCAAGATGATTAATACTAGGATAGCTTCAAAGGAATCCTCCCCAACCTGCACGCCTTTCCTCTCCCTCACCTCCACTGGCACGATGTGACGGTGGCTACCTTGATCCCAGAACTTCCCCACAGACGCAGCTCCCGCGGCCGCTTGGCTTCAAGGCATTGGATATCAGTGGACATGTCGGTTTTGACTCCGCATTAGGGCAACTTTAATGCGCCTGTGAGTGCGGCGGGTGGGCGGCACTCGACCTATGTCGTAGGTCAACTTGGCGTCTGACGGGCTGGAACTGCAAGGACTCCGCAGATTGGAGCTAACTGGGGTCATTGTCCGAGCGGGGTTGTTGACTGGGCCCTCGGACAATTCATCAGGCGTCGAAGTGTCGTCACAGTCCCGTCCCTGCGGGTAAAAAGAGGGGGCTGATATGCCAAGTGACGGACCATGGAGGGTCCTCTGCATTGAGGTTGCAACCCCTATTCACATGTCGCAATGGTTAAAACCGCCGATAGAACTCACCGCCCCATGGCTGCGGGGCAAAACTACCTATATAAGATCTCGAGCAAGCAGGTGTCCTGGCGGTTCAGGTTTAGGACACCATCCAGGAACTTGTAGACATTTCTATTCACCATGGACCCAAGTTCAGTCCCCGATTTTGACGATCTGCCCAAGGTTGAAGGGCAGCCTCAGGGATGCGCTTGGGGCATCTTTGACAAAGACGGCAAGAAAGATGTATTGGGCACCCTGAACTTTCTCACGCCCAAGATTGTTGCCGAAGCTGCGGCGGAGGTCAAGGATGGCGTCTCCATCTCCCTCAAGTAAGTTGATTCTGCCATGGCAGCGGACGATCACAGTAGAGCTGACGGGACGCAGCTGGCCGTTGAACGGCATCAAATTCCCGCTGCCGGGCCGCAAGCCTCCAGTTCATCGCCCGCACCGCCTAAGAGACCTGGGGATGGACTGCGAGGGCTGGGACGACGAGCTCGAGTTCAACACGCAATTTAGCAGCCAGTGGGACAGTCTCTGCCACGTCACCACCGACGGCACCACCTACAACGGCCTCAAGCCGACGCCGGAAGGTCTGTCAGTCCAGTCGACCGCCGAGAATAATCTCCCGACCATCGAGCACTGGCACTCGCGCGGAGCCCTCGCCGGCCGCGGCGTCCTGATCGACTGGAAGCGGTACCACGAGGAGACGACGGGAACGCCGTACCACCCGCTAGATGGGTACCGCATCACGGTTGAGGATATTGAGAAGGTGGCCAAGCACCAGGGCGTCGAGTTCAAGCACGGCGACATCCTCATTATCCGGACTGGGTACACCGAGATGCTCGAGGCCCCGACGCCCGCAGACTTTGCCAAGTTCCAGGCCGGTACGCTGTCGGGTGTCCACGGGCATGCGGATACGGCACGCTGGGTGTGGAATCACCGGTTTGCGGCTGTGGCTGGCGATGCCCACGGTTTCGAGGCCATCCCGGCGCTGAAACCTGATGGGACACCGGGTGGTGTGTCAGACCTGGGTGAGTCTCTCCTAGTTCCCAGTCAAATTATGAAAAAGTAACAGTGAATGGTGCTAACCGCTGATGTAGTCCTCCACCCCTGGTTCCTCAACCAGTTTGGCATGTCCATCGGCGAGCTGTGGGATCTCAAGGCGTTGGGCGAATACGCCAAAAAGACGGGGAGATATAGTTTCCTGTTGACTTCGGCGCCCCTGAACCACCCTGGCCTGGTGGCCTCGCCGCCCAACGCAATCGCTTTGTTCTAAGCCACGGCGGTAGAGCAATGAAATAGGGTAACTCAGAAAGAAATTTGATTTTAAATACCAAACCTTATTTATGTCCCCGACCATGGATCGTCTATCTCGATCAACCCCTGGTCATACATCAACTTGGCCATGGGATACACCGCCCTGGCAAAGTTACTCCTCCTCTCCAGCACATACCTTGGCGTGATCTGCTCAAACCCCGGTACCTTATGCCCCCAACGATGCGGCGAGAAGGCATGCAGCAGGTACGTAGCGGACCAGTCCCTTGCCCACTTGGGGAACCTCTCCGGGTGATCCCAGCGCTCCTCAAACCCCTCACGATACTCCGCCAGCCCATCCCCCTGCTTCTTCCCCTCCAACGCCGACGGCGCATCCTCATGCACCTGAAACAGCATATCCGTATCCTCCGTCTGCCAACTCCCCGGCGCGAACGCCTCCCTCTCCATAATCAGCACCTCCCTGCCCCCGGGGTCCGCCACCAACCTCTCCGCAATCCTCGTCAATTCGGCATTACTATGGTCCGTCCACCCGCCCGTATACACCTTCCCCATCCGCTCCATCCACAACCGTATCAACCGCCCCTTGGCCGCCGACATAAACGTCCCGCTATTCACCTGCCCACCCAGCTGGCGCCCGCCCACGGCCTTGAACCCGGCCCGCCGCAGCGGCGCCAGATCCCGCAGCGCGTGCGCGTCCCAGTCCAGGTATACGCCGCCGAGGTCATGCACGGCGCGCACGCGGACAAAGTCGGAGCGGTGTTCCATGTTCTGGAGGGCCTTGCCGTTGCTGGCGTGGGTGGGCACGGCGACCTGGCGGAGCTGCAGGTGCGGGAAGTGCGTGAAGATGAGGCGGTTCCATTTGCCCGTCGTGCCGTTGGCGGCGCGCTGGTAGGCGGCGCTGTGGGTGTCGGTGTTGGTGTGCAGGTAGATGGTCTGTGGCCGCAGGTGGTGGTTCGCGGCGAAGATGCAGAGGAAGTCTGGTGGGTTGGGGAGTGGGTTGGTTAGTGGGAGGCTGGAAGCGAGGTTTGGGTGTAGGGGGCAGTTGGATCCTTCGCGTGGTATGTTAGGTACTTACGGCTGAACTGAAAGGTAAAGTCGGTCGCGTCCTCGGGGAGGATGTATACCAGATGGACCGTGTTAGGGATTATGTCGCCGGCTGAGGATGCTGGCGCTGATGCTTGTGATGGCCATGATGGGAGGTAGGATCGCGTGTGGTTCGTCGCGAGAAGTAGAATCAGCGAGAGAAATGTCGCGCCGACGATCACGTATCGGAGGGGCACCCGGCCCCAAGATGCTGGAACGAGGGCTTTTGCTGCTGTCAACATGGATGCCGATCGGGAGACGAAACGCGGCGGTGAGGAGCGGCTCGTCTCGAGAAACGGAAAAGGTTGAATGAGGGTTGACGAGGCAGAAATGGGCTGCGGGCCTGCGGCTGCTCGCAATGCATCAACAAGGGGGGATGGATGGCGGGAATCGCCGTCTCCTCATTTCTTTTTAACAACCAACTGCATTTGTCGTGTAACCTCCCTAACCGCCCGCCCAAGCCCAAGTGGTTGGGTATATCAAGCAAGGGTGTGTCTGAGCGAGCAAAGCCGATTGGCAAGCAGGCCAAGCGACATTTGGGCCTTGTGCACTTTTTTCAAGCCACAGCACTGTGTGCTTACCCATGGAAAAAGAATATGACCAACACAAGTCGATGCACAAATCAGTCATCTTTTTGCCATTACATAGATATAGGCTCTCCGTCTACGAATCCATCAATTATATCCTTCTTCGCTTCCGCATTGAGAGATATATTCACATCCGCGTATGACAGCAAGTGCGCGCTGTGCCGGCACAGCTGTGCCTTTCGCTGCCCGTGCTACCGTTTTCGGAAATTAAGCGCGCGCCCCTGCCATTGCGAGGGTCTCAACATGCAACGTCGTGGGGGCCGCGCGGTGGAGTCTTGATTCGTACAGGAATAAATATATCATCACCCGCGGCCTGCCAAAGTGAGACCCCTAAACCCTTCTAATCTCAGTCTTGCTGCATTCTATCAGTATCGCTCGCCCACCCCTACCATATTCTCTTTCACGGTTTCACCCAACCCAACCCAATCCGATGGTTATCACTGACAGAGCCGGCACATTGCTGGGGCCATTGACCACAACGTGGTCCATGCCCAGTAGCTGCAGTGTCCATGTCGTCCCCTGCGCAACTTGTGATGGTGGTTTCAGTGGTCAGCGATGCGTGGTAGAAGAAGAGGACAAGGAAAGCACAGGGGCTCCATCTGACTATACCGGTTGCTGGCCTCCTGCACTAACAGAAGCCGGGACACCGGGGTCCCCCTTCATGGGATGGGGCTTTTACTCCCCTGGCCTTGCGTGTCCGACGGGCTACACGGCGGCCTGTACTGCGGAATATGGGAAGCGGCCGGGTTGGGAATTGGAGTTCACTCTGATCCCAGGCGAGACAGCAGTTGGATGCTGCCCCGAGTATGTTGTCCACCGCCAACCAAACACTTTTCATTGGCACTGACTGTCCATTGTTGTAGGGGCTTCAAGTGCACAAATTTCAATGGCCAGACATGCATCGCCGTGGACACCAAACTCACCGTCTCCACCGCCCTGTGTTCCGGGAGAGAGTTGGTCAACTTCGGCCAGGTCACCTACCCGGTGTTTATCGACATCACAACAACCATAACAGAAGCAACGTCGACTGGTGGGCGAGGCACTCTAGCAGTACCAACCTCACAGGAGGTGACTCTGTTGGCACCCATGTTTCAGCTCAACTACCAGGCATCGGACGTTGCAAAAACGACAGCGCCTCCCACGGCACAAGCCTCGCCTTCAAGTTCGGAAAGCTCACATTCACCGCCGATATCCTCGAACCCGGTCGGCTCAGACCCCACCTCCGGCAATCCCGTGCCTGCAGGGGAGCAAGGCGGGCTTTCGACGGGGGCAGTCGTTGGGATCGGCGTCGGTGCGGCGCTGGGGGGCATCTTGCTAGGCGTATTGGCGATTTTGTTTTTTCTCAGGAAGAAGACGGGGGCGGCAGAGTTTCCAGAAAGCCAACCAGCCGAACAGCCGCAGTATGACTACAAGTACGCAACCGAGATGCCCGGCTGGCACCAACCCAACGCAACCGAGCTCTGGAGTCAGCCGGCTGAGTTGTCATCGGGAAGTGACCGTTGGAGTCACAACCACCATCCACACCCTACGTAACCTTAACCATAAGTAGCCCTAAGTAATAATGATTATTTTGCGCAGAATGATTATATTGCGCCTCGTTTTCTTTTCTTTTCTTCTTTTTTTTTTCTTGTCTTTTTTTTATTATAGCAAATTTGGGCTTGGTTCGGCTGAGAAGCACTTATGCATGAGACCTGTGTTTTGCTCAGGGGTGCGTACATATGTACGTACACTACTGCGGAGACCATGTGAAAGGATGAATACCCCTAACCTCAAGAGGCGCAGCGACACTGGACCGTCGAAAATGCTCAGCTTTGCGTTGAACCGGGGATTGGCAAGGCCGCTTGTTCCCGAAGCCTTGTACCAATAAACTCGACAAAAGCAGGGGAGAGGCACATGGGATGCGAGCTGGGTGGCTGAGGGACGGGTCGAATACAAAGCTAAAATGGGGGCTGAGTCTGACGAATAAATAAGCCAACTCCCCCCGGTTTCCCGGGATGGAAAAAAAAGACGTCAAATTCCCAACCGTTTTCGCATCTCGTCACGCATTCCCTTTCAACGCAATGGCTGAGTTCAGGGGCGTACAAGGCACATTGCTCGGGCCGTTAACCACGACATGGTCGATGCCCGACAGCTGCAGCGTCCATGTCGTCGAGTGTACAACGTGCGTGGAGGGTTACAGGGGTCAGCAATGCGTGATAAGCGACGAGAGAGGGGTGCCAAAGGACCACACCACCTGTTGGCCTCCTGCTATCCAACGCGCCGGGACGCCAGTACCCGCTTTCAACGGATGGGGGTTCTACTCTCCCGGCTTGGCCTGCCCGACGGGCTACACGGCGGCCTGCACGGCCGAATATGAGGGCCGATCGGACTGGGCGGTCGAGTTCCCCCTGATCGCGGGCGAGACCGCCATCGGGTGTTGTCCCACGTCCGTACCTCCATACCCACCCACCCACCAGATTCCACTGACGAGTCCCGGTTGGGCGCTGACTCGTCTGTCGCAGGGGCTTCGAGTGCACGAACCACAACGGCAACACATGCATCGCCACAGCACCCGACTTGGTGGCCCAGACCGGCTCCTGTTCCGGGACGGTGCTGGTCAACGTCGCCCAGGTCACCTACCCGGCCTTCGTCGACATCACGACGACCGTGACCGACGATACCTCGACCAGTACGGTCGAAACCTCGGCGCCGTTCACCCTGTTCGCCCCGATGTTCCAGCTGAACTATCGCGCCTCCGATCTCGCATCTTCCACCGCACCTCCGTCCACGACAGGAGAACTCTCAGCATCGGACGGCACAACGTCGGTGGCTTCGCAGTCGACCGGTTCAGACGCGGCTTCCTCCGGTTCTTCCGGGCCGGCCGCGGATGGAGGTGGGCTTTCGACAGGGGCGATTGTCGGGATCGCTGTCGGTGCGGCGCTGGGGGGCATCCTGTTGGGCGTGCTAGCAGTTTTGTGGTTTATTAGGAACAGGAAAAGAAAGCGGGCGGAGGCAGCAGCGGGAGGCCAGTCGCAGTATGAAGGCTACCAGCCACAGTATGGCTACCAGCCGCAGTACGACCACAAGTACGCGGCCACGATGCTCTCCCCGCACCAGCAGACTCCTGCCGAGGTCTGGAGCCAGCCGAGCCGCGTCGAGGTCGGAAGCGAATCCGCCGTCGTCGAGATGGGGACCATGTCGAACCATGGCGGGTTCGCGGGGCCACCGGTCGAGTTGCCGACAGGAAACGGCCGTTGGAGTCACAACCACGCCCCCACAACCCCGTCTCATGGCTGAGCAACCTCACAGTCGGCTTGAACGCGCGTTGCATGGAGATGCCAAGTGAAAATCTCTTTCGGTCTCGGCCGGTTTGCTTAGCATGACATCATAAAATTGGTTTCACGCTATTTAACCACGCGCACGAGGTATTCCATCCCCCATGTTCGAATCTCTCAAACTCTCTGGGAGTTCTCCTCGACCCGGCCCACGACGTGCTCCTCATCCTCGCTGGACATCTCACTGGGGTCGTCCTTGATCCCCGTAAGCTTTTGGAGAATTCTGGCAGCATACATATCGCCCGATACGTTGACGGCCGTCCGGAAGCCTATCGAGTGTTGTTAATTTCACGTTCAGGGGGGTGCGCGGGGGAGGGGACAAGGAGCACATACGGTCCAAGAACCAATCGATGCTAATGATAATGGCCTGGATTGGGTGTTAGCCAGGTACTGCACTGCGCGGAAGTAACACAACGGGCGGGACAATACGTACGTACATGCCCGTGATGGGCACATTGACGCTCTGGGCGATCATAACGGTCAAGACGAGGGAAGCGCTAGGGATCGGAGTGGTGCCGATACTGGCGAGCGTGGAAAGCAGGCAGATAATGACATAGTCAACCGGCGTGAGCTTGATTCCCTGCGTTACCGCAAGAAACACGACGCATCTAAACCAGTCCAATTAGTCTCCCTATCTTGGTCCTAAAACGCAAAGTGGGGGGAGGGCGGCTGGACGTACAGCGGGAAATAGATGGCTGTGCCATCCATGTTTACCAAGCAGCCGAGCGGGACGCTGAACTTGGTGATGGTAAGAGGCACACCCTGGGCGGTGACACACTTCATGGTCATGGGGAGTGTGGCCGCAGACGATGCCGAACCCCACGCCGTGATCCACGCCTGCGAACACCTGAACCAGTACGTGTACGGATTGGTCCTTGTGATGGCGAAGAAGATTATGGGGAGCACGATAAACAGATGAAGCGCCATGTTGGCGACACCACCGCCGATCAGGATGCCGAGGTTGAGGCCGATTTCGGCGATATCGAGCTTGAAGAGGTTCGGCAAGATCAGGAAGAAGACACCAATGGGGGCGAGCTTGATGAGGACGGTGATAATCTTGGTGATCATGACCTCCACTTCTTCCAGGACGCGAACGATGGCCGACGCCGGGTTGAGCAAATAACCGACAACAATAGCAGTGATGAGAACGGCAAGCAGGCTGTCGGTGGCCAGGGCGTTGACAACGTTATCCGGGATGAACGAGTCGAACATCTGAGACACCACGTCCGCGATTTCAAGCTTTTGGCGGTCCTCGATTGTCTTGGCGTCTTCCTCGGACACTGCGAGGCTGTCGCCGCTAACCACCTGCATCAGCCTGCCCCAGACGAGGTCCGTTAGGATAGTGCTAATAACGATGGCCAAGAGCGTGGTCAGGACATAGTAGCCAACAGTCCAGCGGGCAAGGATTTTTCCGCCTGGTTAATTGCCTCGCCATGTCAGCCATTGCTCGTACATATTTAATTTGATATTGTAGACTGTTTGTTGCATGCACTTACCACCGCTCATCACTCGAAGGCGCTGGACAGCCAAAATCATAGCTGTGACAATCAACGGCAAGACTAAAAGGCGCCGGATGTCAGTTTAACTCCTTTTTTCCACCACGTTACGCAACGCTGCCGTTGTTAACCCCTAGTGGTAGGCCACATACCGACAGCCTTCAACGCCCGCAACCAGAGCCTGCCCGGAATAGCCACGATGGTGGTGGCAGCCGCCGGGATATCTGCAACAGTCGAGCTCACGGCGAGCCCGATCCCGATGCCTAGGGCGGCGGCAATGACGATTTGCGTGGCTGAGCCCGCCTCACGGACCGAGTTCCACCATGGCTTCTTCTTCGTTTCGAGCTCAGCCGTTTCGGGGGGGGAGCTCGTCGACGTGGGCGTGCGGCGCACGTCGTCGTTCATCGCTTCCGTCTTTTCTGTTGACATTGTGCGGGTGGTGATGAAGCTCTCGCGACTCCAGACGTGCGTGGTGATGCGTCGTCAACGGGCCTGGATAGAGCACGACCGAGTGGGAGAGGAGAGGTCCGATGAGGCTCGCACCGCACCAAGTGAAGGAGGGTGGGTTCACATTAATATTATTCTGCTTCGGCCCGACCGTGATTGCGCCCCAGAGGCCCCGTTGGTAGCCATGTTGCGACCTTGCCACCACTTGGTCAGAGATACACACCACCAAGACCGGGGGTAGGCGTCCTCGCGCGTCCTTCGACCTGCCACATCCGGTTACACAAAGGGGCCGTTGGTCTGCCATGGGTGCCATGGTTTCGGCGGGGAAACCCTCGCGAGGACCAATCCTTGAAGATTTTCTCGCCGCTGCCCAGTGCCAAGTGACAATGTTAGGAAGGTCCAAGGAAAATCTCCAGAACTCAGGAAGACAACCGAGACTTGGCGGCTCGGCGCGAGCCAGAGGACGGCTTACCCGCCCCAGATTCTCATCTATCAGCCGACGTTGCTCGCGCTGCTGGATCGTGTGTAATCCCTGTCTCTAGCCGGCAAAGAGCTGGAAGCAGTCACCGAGCAGAACAATGCCATCTCTTGGCCCGAGAATCCTGTCTTGGAAACCGAGAGAGAATGTGGGGAACCTGACAAGCTTGATGAGCTAAAGCCCGGTAACGTTTAAGGTAGTGGAGAAGGTACCGTACCCCTTCCGTGCTTTTGTGGCTCTTTGAGCCTCCTCGCACGTTTCTCGGTCGCAGATCCGACCCTCGTCGGCAGTCTTGACCAAGATAAGCACGGCTTGATACGGAGGAGGTACACTCCTCATCGAGCCTTATCGCCTGTCGGTGAAGGATTCGGGCTCGCTTACAGGGAACATGATCAGACAAGATAACATGTCCCTTTCTAGGTTCTGTCGGCGCAATTCCAAGGAACGAAGAAGCTAAGCTATTAGCTCAAGATTATTGTTGAGTTGGGGTCGCGGTTTGCCGCACAAAAAGTTAAAAAACCAAAAAGGGAAAGGCGGCATCGTGGCCCCACTTTCCTCTCGCTCTCGGGCACGCGACCTGAAGGTTGAAGCTGTCAGAATACGGGATTCACTGGTCCAATCAGGCAATCAAGTATGGTTGTTGTCCGCGCTTGTTCCGCGTCCGTTGTATTTTTCGGTGTGTCCTCGTTCAGACTCCGACATGTGGGTCCCCTTGGGGTTTTTACCCGTCGAAATGAGAAGTGATGGTTAAGCTAAACATGCCCCGTTTTCTTCATATCCGAAGCCTCCACCCCGATATTCTGACAGAAGCCACTTCCATCAGCCCCCTCAGCTGCTGCCTAGAATAGCTCTCATGAGAAACATTGAGTTGGGGGCTGAAAACCTAAATCGGCCCCCAACGGCGCTGCTTCCGGGCTCATCGACGCCGATCGAGTCAGCCTCGGAGACTCGGAAACGTTCGGAAATACTCGACGGCTCCGGAACCAGCGATGACTTCTGCCTTGAGCGTTTCCATTTATTGAACATCTCAAACAGCATTCATCCTCATATAGCATTCATTCCCTTTCTTCTTCAATTTAGAGTTTGTACCCGTAATCTGTACACAACGCATCCCTACACACTGAAATCGTAAATCCACTTAATATTCCTACTCACCCACCGCCACCTACCGAATTCCCATCACAAAAGAAACATGACATCCCCATCAGAAATCCAAATCCCATCCCTCACCCTCTACAGCGGCTTCCCCACGCGCGGCCGGCACGTCGCCTCGCCCTTCGTAAACAAGCTCGAGACGCGCCTACGCCTTGGTGGCGTCACCTACAAGGTCGCCACGGGGTCGGTGTTCAAGGCGCCTCGCGGCAAGATCCCGTACCTCGATGTCGAGGGAACGCCGGGCACGGTCCCCGAGCAGCTGGCCGACTCGACGCTCATCACGCGCAGATTGGTTGCGGATGGGTATCTGCAGGACTTGAATGCGGGTTTGACGCCGGTGGAGAGAGCGAGGGATTTGGGGGTGAGGGCGTTGTTGGAGGATAAGTTGTACTTTTACCAGGTGAGCACGGCTGGCGCGGGTGGTAAGAAATGGGAAAGGGGCCGGCTGGCTAACCTCTGCAGGTCCGTGAGCGGTGGATTGACAACTATTACGTGATGCGGGACAATGCCCTCAGCGCCATGCCCTTCTTTGTGAGGTTTTTCATCGGTCTGTTGGCCTACCGTTCCACAAAAGCCAGGCTCCTTGGCCAAGGTGTGCTCCGGTTTACGGATGACGAGGCCAAGAACACGAAGTTGGAGGTTTGGGAGAACGTGAACGCCCTTTTGGTTGGTTCACGCAATAACGCCTACGAGACCGAAAAGGCCGGTCCTTTTTGGATCCTCGGTGGCGCCAATCCCACCGAGGCTGACGCAACCGTCTTTGGTTTTATTGCTGCAGCTCTGGATTGTCCACAGTAAGTTCCCCCTTCCTGGGCTGTCAACGTGGTGACAGTCAATGTTCACAACCATCCTAGGGCACCGGCTACAGAACAGATAGTCCGCAGCTTTCCCGTCATTATGGATTATGCGAGGAGGATTCACGAGCAATACTTTAGTGACTATGAGCTTTGGAAGGAATAGGGAAGGTCGTAATAGACAGGTACTGGATATTCCGCCTGAAGAGGACTACGCGGCCGACTAACAGGTAGAGGTCTTGGCTGTGCTTTGGGGCCCTCCCATTACCTGTGTTGCCCAACCGGACGTATCGCAGGCACCCCTTAATACCGGATTATGTCCACGGGCAATTCTGCAAGGAGGCACCGGCAAGACCTTTTCCCCAGAGCTTTGCCAACTCCAAGTGCCGGGTCTATTCCATAGATTGATAACAAACCAAGAGTGATACCAAAACAGTTTAGACAAAAGAAGTCCACGACTAGTTCAATCACATTACGGCCTCCTCCGCCCCATCAATCACGTTTTGTCCAAATCTTCTGTCTCAACAGCAATGGCTTCTTGATCTTCCGTGTCCCGGTTCCTCTTGAAAATCGCTTCTCCAACATGATCATCAACCAGCTGCCGCTCCGGAACGAAGGACGAAAACTTCCGCGCACTCACTCTTTTCTCAAATAGCTCGTCCAGCTGCTCCAAGCTCCTGCCCTTCGTCTCGGGAACAAAGAAGAACGCCCACACGGCCACAACCAGATTGCTCCCACCCCAGATGTACCCATACTTTGGCCCCCAGCCCAAATGGTCCGGGTTGATGAAGTAGGGTGTAAAAAAGGAGACCAACCAGCCGACAATAAAGTTGAGCCCCGATGCGGTACCCACGGTCTGTGAGCGCAACCGTTGCGAGGGGATCTCGGTCCCAAGCGCCCATAAAACCGGTCCCTGGCCGACACCATACACCCAAGTGTAGACGATGCTCAGGGCGACGAGCGCTTTGCTTGCGGCAGACGAGTGCCCACCCGAGGCGGTATAGACAATGGCCATACCGAACATCATAGCCGACGAGAGAACCGAGGTGACGACGAGGAGCTCGCGGCGCCCAAAGTAACGCATCGCCGGGAACGCTAACATGTTGCCCGTCAACGCGATCGCCAAAGATATCATGACCCAAGCAAAGGGCGAGCCGACCCTGGCCTGTACGAACAGGTACACCGAGAACCCGGCCATGAACGTGACGCCAGTGGCAATGCCGGCGATATTCGCTCCGTAGCTGAGCAGCGTCCGTCGAAGGTCCGAGCCCCTGAACATATCGGTCAGATGCACCCCGGCGTGTATTTCCTGCTCCATCAGGAACGCGCTCTTGATATCCTCCACCTCGGCCCGGAGCAACTCCTCATCCTTGATCCCGCGGAGCCGTCGAATAGCCCGCATCGCCTTGTCCTCCCGCCCCTGGGTAACATAAAACCGCGGCGTGTCCGGCAGAAACAGCAACAACACCGTCAGAAATGCCGGCACAATGTACATGACCCCGAGTGGAATCTTCCACGAAGCCGTGCCCCCATACGGCTGGCAATAATTATCCACCAGAATCCCAAACAACGCCCCCAACGACGTCTGAAATGTGCTCATACCCACAATCGGCCCCCTCAACATCGACGGCGCCGCCTCGGTCATATACGTCACACAATACGGCACCAAAAACCCATTCGACACCCCCAGCAACAACCTCCCCGCATACAGCCCCCCCAGACTATGCAACCCCAACTGCAACGAAATCGACAAGAAGGCAAACCCACAGCCAACCCACAACCCCACGCGGCGCGACACGCGCGCATGGGCAAAGTATATGGCCACCGCCGCCACGAAGCCGCCCACGTTCATCAGCGACTGGATCAGCCGCTGCACGTCGGTGCTGATGTTGAGCCCGATCGGGTTGCTAGCGTCCACGTAGCCGTACACCTCGAGGAAGCCCGGCAGGCTCTGGAAGCCCGCGACGGCCGCTGAGTCGTAGCCGTACTGGAACTGGCCCAGCGCGATCAGGAAGCTGAGGAGCACGACCCGCTTCTCGGCGAGGAGCCGGCTGCGTGCGGCGGGAGGGGGGGTGGTCATGGTGACTGGAGGTAGGCTAGAGATGGGGTGTTGAGGTAGTGGTGGTGTTGAAGGGTGTGGTTTCTGGTTTCTGGGAAGGGGAGGGGAGGTAGGCTTGATGAGGCCATATTGAAGAAGAAAAGGAAGAGTATCTAGATTGCTATCGTATTTAGACAAGTGGTCCAGAATTCACCATCAAAACCAGCCATCCAGGATTGGTTGGGGTCGTTAGCCAAATGCCAACCCCTATATGCCGAATTCCCCTCACCACGCCCCTGGCCACTTAATTGGGGAGATTGCGGCACTGGCTGGTAAAGCCGGGATGTTATTGTGCGGGACGTACGCCCCTCACATCGGTTATAATACCCGTATGCAACGTTGGGCCATGGTGCTCAGGGTTACCTACATATGATTAGCCTTTAGGGTGTGGCTGGCTGAATCCGGCACTGTCAAAGGTCCTCGGCAGGTTGTGGAAGGCCACGCCCATACTAACAGCAACTCAGGCTTTGTTTTGGGTCTGGCCAAATTACAGAATGCAAAGATAAGTTAAGGGGCGGGAGTGATTCGCAACGGGTGACACCACGGCGATAATATAGTTATAGGTGCAGCGATATATTGATACAAGGACTGAAGGCTATTTTGAACATTCTCGGTGGATATTCGTCTAGTTAGATTACCGGAAGGTTCCTGTAGCTAACGCGTGCTGGCCTGTGTGGGACTCAACTTCAACGAATCTATGATACCTACCAGGGAAAGACTCAAGTTGCTGGATGCTCAACGTTAACGGTAGGTAGGTTCAAGCTAGAACCTATCTGTTGGAAGGCAGACTAGGAGGTCTGAGCACAGGAGAGTCAATGGGTCAAGGCCCAGAACGTGGTGGCAAGAGATCGGTCGGCTTAGGCCGGAGAGATCACTCGGCTTAAGGCCAGGTGCGGTTGCATGCGGTGCCACCATCGCTGCTCAGAGAGAGATATCACGAGTTTGGAATCCCCTTATAGAAGGAAGAGGGAAAAAAGGACAATTGATTTTGGCAGAGTCTCATAGCCTCCTAGGCTCATCCGTGTGAATTCCTATCTGTCCTGTGTGTGTGACACCTTGGATCAGTGGTTGTTGGTCTTCCAACCAATTGCCCGTTCTTCCCCCGGCAATTACTGGAACACACGTTAGGTACTCAAAAAAAATAAAGCAGGACTGCGGGTAGGAAAACGGCGGATCACTATTCCACAAGCGTACCCATTGTGGAGGCCAGTAAGTGTAACCGTAAAGGACGCTGTCACTAAAGCCCGCAACGTTGTCGGCCTAAGGAAAATAAACCTCCGCGCCATCCACTTTCGCACTGATGGAACCCCAGAGGGGACAATCT